TGAAAACCTCTGTCAAAACATCCTTACAGTAAGGGGTAAGGGGATAAGTACATCAATTATTGATTTTGTACATAGCTTTTATAGATTCCAATATATGTTCGCAATCAACGTAAAAACAATGTTAATATAAACATTGTAAATTGATGTAACTTTATCACCTTTTAACAGCATATACTAGCGTATGTAATAAGCTCAATGTAATTACTTGTACCTATTTTGTTTTTAAAAGCACTTTCCTAACCTCAACCAGAAAAAATGATTCTTGCTATCTTAACTTCAGTCACAAAAATCTCTTAAAGGGCCACTGGATTATGTATGTATCAAGTATTTGTTCACTAATTTTACATTATTTGCATCCTGTGTTAATGTTTATGTGCAAAATATTTAAAATATTTTTATTGCATGAATGCCTTTACTGTCTCATTTAATTCCATTTGTTACCCTTGGTTTATCTACAAAGGACACATATTATAGGTAGGTACTTTGTAGCATATAAATGCATATTTTGAAAGAGCTGTAAATGAACCGAATACAACAAATGTGTATCTGAAATATGAATATTATATAATTCAATTTGCATCTAAGTTAATATATTTTGTTCAACCATGGTCCAACAAACAGCAAATGTACAGCCAATATCCAACGAACACTTTACAAGACTGGTAATTTGTTTAATGTTAAAATCTTGTTTACCTATTCCATAGATGTACAATATTTTATTGCCATGCATATTAACTCAACTTTTAAACATGTAAACATAAATACCTACCTACTTTGCTCTATTTCAGTTTGTTGTAGATAAGTGCTCTTTCATTTACATTTAAATTACAACCCACAAGAAATATGTAATATAATTGTTTAGACAAATAATTGAGACACAGTGAATGATTTTTTTATAAATCCCTTTTGTAATGAATTAATTTTCTAAATACAATATGGAATATAAAACATGTTTTTAAAATAACAATACATCACTTGGTAAACACATGCTTTTAGATTGTAACTGAAAGTACATACCTATATTTTCAAAAATATAAGCTCCTCCCTAAAATATCTATTTTAAAACATGGTAATCTAAACAACTAAACTTGAAATAAGAAATGTTACAGTATGATAAGAAAATCACAGAATATATAATTTTCAAAATCATAGTTTTAGAGAAGTTTTCTGTAAAAAAACATTTTGTATTCATTTGCAGATCCTTAAACAGTATCTATAATTAAATTTTTCTCATAATTATATATTGTAACAACAAAAAATATCAATATTTATGCATGGATTACAAAAGTCAAAACATTTTCATATGACTGAACCCCTATAAGTAATGCTTGCATTGGATAAGGGGGATATTTTTATTTACTATGACACTTCTTGAACATAATGATGGTGATTTTGCTTTTACAGCTGTAGGAAAATTCAGAAAAACCACAGTACCATCACAAAATGTATAGATTTTAAGGGGGTAAATTTATGCAGTATGTCTCATTACCTGCTCCTGAGCAAAATGAACCCACAAAACAACCTCAACCAAATGAGCATTGCATTTCTTTAATAAGCAATATTTTGAGTCACAGAAAGAAAACTGATTCTGGAATAAAGCATTCATTCATTTAAGTCGAAAAAGTCAAAATTATAATTGTAATTTCAAAATGGGCCCCAATAGAAACTCAAAGAGATTTAGAAAATATAAAAATATGTGTTATGTATTTTCTTTTATTTTCACAACTTACTTCAGATCAAGCTGGTATAAGGGAAATACTACTAAGCTAATTAGGAATTATTATATTTATAAAAATTACTCACATAATATTGGTGATTATAAACTTTTTCTACAAACTGTAATGGTATTGAATTCATTATACAATAGCTATGGTTATTAATATTAATAATGTTTTCCATAATTTCTCTATTCCAGGGGGCTTGTCTTCCATGGTACCAGTGAATGGTCTCGATGATGAATAGTTCAAACGGAAATCAGAACAATATAGATCAAAACGCCATGGTTGTAGGTTCTCCTAGTGGAATGTCTGGCGCTTCTGATGATGATGACAATTGTCCCTCTTCCCCTGGGTCTGGATATGAGGAATCCTCAGATCTTATGGCGGCAGCCATGGGAGATGAAGTCACTGCACAATTAGCTGCTGCAGGTACGTTTCTTTATGGGGATATTGGTTATAAAAATATACACATTTTATTGAACATACATTAATTTGTAACTTTACATCATTTAAAAAACAAACAAACACCAACAGTTAGGTCAGTCAAGTTAAGTAATATAAGTAATAGATACTTTTTAAAAATATAAAATATCAAGAAAGTTTTTCTGCATTTTTTCTAAAGCTATTATAAGAGATTCACGTGAATCATTGTGAAGTCAAGTTTTAAATTATTGAATAAAATACCAAACTAATTCTTAGAATAAGTTCAATTTATATAAAAGTTAACTAGTAAAAGTGCTCTATGTGATACATTTATAAATATTTCATATGTCCATGTTGCTGTCGATCCTTCAACATTCCAGACTGGATTTGCCGGTTGAGTCAAGCAGGTATGAAGTGTAAAATTGTATAGTAAACTTTCTTAATGCAGAGTATTGCTGTTTCACTTGTTTAAGAGGTTTTTTTAATGAGAGCGGTGTTGTGCTTTATGTTGAACAAAATTCGGCAATAATATGGGATTAAAATGAATATCTAAAAATAAAATTATTTATTATATATACCTAGTTCAAACTGTCTTGTGGAGAGTTTATAGAATTTTTATGGTTGTATATGTCTGTTTAATTAGAAGATGTTAATTTTTTAATAATTTTGGAAGCTTTTCAGAAACATTATTCATCATGAAATATAAATAACTTTGGCAACAATGTGACCACTCGCAATTTAAAAGGACGAGGTCATAATCTCTTTTATATTTTATATCCATAAGCCTTTTTAGACTGTATAAGGGACTGCCCATTGGAACAATCTCTTTCATCATATGTGTAACAATCATACCCAATACTCATGAACTGATTGTATAAATAATGGGGTTAATAAAAAAAAATGTTCAACAAATTGAAAATATTCAGAACACTTAGTTTTTAAAGAATATCCACCACATAAAGATGTTTATAGTAATATTTTTCTATACAAATTAATACATAATCATATTCATTGTACCAAATTATTAGACATATCTGTTGGCTCAATTAGCGAAATGAACAATGTTTCTTATTCACACCACACACAGATTAGTTTATTAAATTACCTGTTAAAAGAAATATAAAATAATTTTTAATTTCATTACTTCTGTACACTTGTTCATTTATTATTATATTGTCTTTTTTTTATAATTATTATTTGTAATGTTTCTTATAATTGGGTGTTAACCTGTTGGGGTAGCAACTTGTGTAAGGATGCCAATTAATATTACTGTGGTGGCGTCCTAACTAGATTAACTTAAAGAAATATTTTAAATTTACAGTATTAATGTGGATATTATTTTAAAATATTTTTGTAGGCCCAGTGGGTGTTGCTGCAGCAGCAGCTATAGTTTCATCAAAAAAGCGAAAACGGCCACATTCATTTGAGACAAATCCTTCTATTCGTAAAAGGCAACAAAACAGGTTATTAAGAAAACTTCGAGTAAGCAAAACCATTATGCAATCAACAGCATTTTTATATATTATTTTTTTTTAGCAAACCATTGACGAATTTGCAACCAGAGTTGGTCAGCAAGCAATAGTATTAGTAGCAACGCCAGGTAAACCAAATACTAGTTATAAAGTTTTCGGAGCTAAGCCTCTAGAAGATGTAATAAAGAATCTTCGTGGAATGATAATGGATGAATTAGAAAATGCACTTGCACATCAAGCTCCCCCTCCAATTCAAGAAGATCCAACACTCTTCGAATTACCACCCCTCATCATAGATGGCATCCCAACTCCAGTTGAAAAGATGACACAGGCTCAGTTAAGAGCTTTCATTCCCTTGATGTTGAAATATTCCACAGGTAGAGGAAAGCCTGGGTGGGGGAGGGAATCCACAAGACCGCCATGGTGGCCTAAAGAATTACCATGGGCTAATGTTAGGATGGACGCTCGTAGTGAAGATGAAAAACAAAAGGTAAAATATATTTATAGATATTTAATTTTAATCTATATTACTATTATAAATATTATAAAAAGAGTGTTATGTTTTGTATAATGAGGGAAATGAGATGTAGTATATTTATAGAATAGCCAACCAATAAAAAAAATCTGATGTGTCCAATACATGACTTTCCTATCTAGTTATTATAGGCGTTTCCCGGTTATTTTACCTCTATAAATGTTTAGAGGATAAACTAAATATATATATATGTTTTCCACATACATCTAACTCGAAACATTTTTCTATAGATATTCATTGAAACCGAAAATACTGAAAAATTAAAATTTAGCAATTTTCCTCCAATTACGGTCCATTTTAAAAAAATTATGTAAAAACAAAAATTATAGAGATCGATATTGTCAAATTTCTTGAATACGGACCATTTCAGGAAAATTTGACAAGGCAAAAATTATAGATAATAATATTAGAAGTAACTTTTATTTGAACAATTTTCTTCTCCAAACATAAATAACATATATTCCATATAAAAACGGCCTCCCATAAAGTATCCCTCCAGATGTTCCGACTTTGTCCAAAATCTAATCATTTCACGTCAGGCCGAAATAAAATTTAAATTTAAAATTTAATGTTTTTTCCTTTATCCGTTTTTGAGTTTTCTTCAAAATTCGAAATTTACACATTTTCTCAAATATCTCGAATACGGTCCATTTTAGAGAAATTATGTATAGGATAAAAATTATAGAGAATTATATTACAAACAACTTTTATTTGAAAATTTTTTATAAAAAAAATATTTTTTTACATTTTGTCAAATTTCTCGAGTACGGACCATTTTAGGAAAAATTTGAAGAAGTTTCTTCTCCAAACGTAAATAACAGATATATTCCTTAAAATATAAAAATGACCACCTATTAAAGTACCCCCCAGATGTTCCGACTCTGGCCAAAATCTAATCAGTTCATTGGACGCCGGAATAAAGCTTAAGTTTAAAATATGGTGTTTTTCTTTGTATTGGTTCATGAGTTATGGTGGATACAGTCACACACATCTGTATACAGATAGGATACAGGATAAAATTCCTAGAAGTACACCAATAAAACTTTTTAATTTATTATTACGCTATTGGTTCACTCTATATAAGAATTTTCTAACTAAAAAAAATGTGTTTTAAAAACGTTCAAAATTCTTTCATTCTTTTTGATAATCTAGGATATCTTCTCAACTGAACAAATATAATATTATTTCATAATCATTCTATTAATTTTTATTGCAGAATTATTAACAAAAAACAATATAAACGTTAAAATTCTTTATCTAAATATTAATTTAAACTATGTGGCTCTAATTATGAAAGTAGTTGCTTAATTTACTTTTAAATTCGGTTTTAATAAAACATAATAACCCTTATAGTTGGTCAGATGATTTTCCTTTTTTGGTTAACAGCAACTCATACTCCAATTTGAGAGTTTACATAAACAGAAAGGTGGAACCAAGATTCATCATGAAACATTTTTTTCGGTCTTAGGGTATCAGAGAAATAACTAAAACTTATCCCAGGTTGTTCAGCTTATCAGTTTTCCAAAATAAGGCTACAAAATGGGATCAAATGGAACAAATTCGCCTGGAAATTCTTTCAAGAATTTATCAAATAAAGCCATTAACTATTTGTTTTTCCACCATTTTCTAATAAATAAGTTTTTTAAAAACAGTGTAAATTATCTAGGGACAAAGTTCCATAACGCTCTACCTCTTCATATAAAATTATTAAACAAATATAAAAAATTCTGTATAGTTAGCAAAATATACATTTTCCAAAATAATGCAAAGTTTATCAGAATATTCCAAGAATAACGGACTTAATACATAAAATTTTAATTTTTGTCAGCATATATAGGTGTTCTTACCTAGGTGCTTGTTATTATATAATTGGTTTCCATTATTGTACTTTATTGTAACTTAGTTATTATTGTAACTCATTGTAACTTATAACTATTAAACTAATAACTATTAATTAATGCTATTAAAACTTAAGACATATTTATATGAAAAATAGATGACATATGTATATTTTTTTTACAGATATCCTGGACTCACGCCCTTCGACAAATCGTGATCAACTGCTACAAGTTCCATGGTAGAGAAGATCTCCTTCCCGCTTTTACAGAAGAGGACGAGAAGGCTAATGCAGCTGCTACAGCGAATGCAAATGTCAGTACATCAGTAGGAGTATTAAAAATGCATTCTTCGGGCATGGTGCCCACACATAAGATACAGATCCAAGCTAACGGGTCGCCCCAAATAATAGCTGCCTCTCCCGATGGCCTGTCAGGCTCATCGACGCAGGTTTGCTTAGATCCGACTGGATATAGTTCCGACGTTGATGTGTGTATTATTTCATACTTGGAATGTTATTAATTGTTCGCTTTATTTGCGTTTTTTTTTTTGTATATTTTTATTTGGTTGATTATTAGTTTTTGGTTATGTATATTTATGTATTATCAGTTTGGTTTTAGAGAATAGACAAATTTGGAAAATTGAAAATGAGTTTGAAAATTGTAAACTGTCTGAAGGATTCAAAGCTGGAACATTATGGAGCAAGGTCTAAAATACTCTCATGTTGAATATCGTCGTTGCTAATAAACATATAGTTATACTCTTAGCGTCTTATTAATATGGACAGTGTGTTTTCAAGTTGAAAAAATATTCAGTTTTACATTCTTTATAGATCATTAACTCTATTAAATTCATGTTCTTCTTATAAAAAATAATTGAACAATAAAAATCTTCCTACAATACACCCTATATTAATATTTGTAATTGTGGTGTGCAGTAACTTACAGGTGATTACAACAACTTCATCCATATCATCGACTTTGGGTTAATGAGATTGAAATCTAGTATATCATCAGAAATTAATAGCTGCTAATAAGCCACCCATCAAATCCTACAACAAATTATTCAAATTAAAGAAAAATTCACAGGGCATGAAGTAGAATTCAAACCTTTGTCATCTTTTGGCATCTGAAAGCCAGGTAACTGGATACCTGGCGCTAGATGAATTGCTGTATTAAACTGATAGGAAAACCATGTGTCTATTTCGTTTCATTTTTTTTTTTCCTATAGAGCAAGAGGCTTCTGTTGTGGTGGTTGGATAGTTGACTCCATACATGACTTCGTTTATTATATTTTCTTGGTCCTGATTGTTGGCTATTGTCCATTATTCTCAACACCCAAAATGTCAAAATTACAGACTTATATACTTTCTTCCATTGAATGGAAAAACATTAGAGTAGTCCAATTTGTGGAGACTGTATTGTTGTACATTAGTGGTTTGTATTTACATAAAAAGATGTTACAGTATTCTGTACAACTTTTTTCAAAAATTATTCTTTATTTCAATTATTACGTTATTACCTATTAGCTTGGTTTTGTTTCTTTTGATTTTATTTAAAGTAGTACTTATATTTATTTTGTCTTTTAAGTTTTGATTACACTTGTTTTATGTAGTTGTTACACTTTGCTAAAAAATAAATATAAATACTTTGAACAAAAGTGCATTTCCACGTTAGATATTCGCAACACTTTACAGATTTCCACACAGTACACACCTACAGTACTGCATACCATTACCAACCCAGATGGTACTGTCAGTATTGTCCAAGTGGACCCCAACAATCCAATCATCACGTTACCAGATGGCACTACAGCACATGTCCAAGGAATGGCAACGGTAAGTACCAACTTATCAGTACTTCTCAGTTGTTTTAATGATAACGTGTCATATACTAGTATAGAGTAGTTTTAGAATATTAAGTCCCCAGATAAAAATGGTTTAATACTGTACATTTTTTGCAGGACTCTGGTATTATTAGTAGTGGTAGTTGTATAGTAGTAGTAGTATTGTAGAAATTTAGCAAAAAATAACTGTTTATATTGAACAGTTTTATTGTGTGCATTATTTTTTGTTCTTTTTTTTTTGAGATATTTAAATTTGGATATAAATAACTCACAAGTATGATACATAATTAACGGATTTTTCCATAACTTATGCCATAAATTCAAATTAACCAAACTAAAATGTCAATAATTTAATGATTATCAAAAACAAAATTGATTATAAAAATATATTAAAAGCATATTAAACTAATTACCTACTTTACTAAATTATTAAATTGATAAAATATTCAAAATTAATTTTTGCTATGTGTAAACTCGAAGATTATTGCTTTTTTTATTGTTAAAATTTATACTAATTATTGAGACTCCAAAATATCACTGCAGTAGTGACATGCTTCTGAGACTAGCTAAAAGTACACTGGATATAATGTTCTCTACGCAACGAAGTCCCATAATACATCTATCTGAAAAGCCTTTTTATCAAATATATGCTACACAATTTTGAAAATCGTTTACTTGTCTTTTTTTTATCATAAATTATTTAAAATATTTGCATACTGTCCAACATTTTAAATTAGTTAATGGGTTATGGAAAAATAGAGTTTTTATTCCAAATTCAAATACATCTTTTATAAATAACATACCAAAAATAAAAATAGGTGGTATTAACCAGATGAGGATTCAATGTTTTTTATTATATATGATATACAGGGTTGTCCGTTAATAATGGGACACACAGCAACTATGAATTCCTTGTATAAACAACATATTCCCTTAGTTCAATTCTTGATATTAAAAAAGATACAGGGTGCTAATATATATTTTTTTTTTACTGAAAAACTTTTATAATTTTAACAATTTTCAAAATATTTTCACAAGTACACTTGCTATTAATCGTGAGACACAAACACGTGGTTTATGCAGAATTGTGCTCCACCTTATTACAGTAGAACATAACGAAATTATTTTGATAATGAATTTCTACATTGAATCGGCCAGCACATAGTCCAGACCATAATCCTATGGATTTTTCCTGTTGGGGGTTTTTTAAATCAATGATTTATAACTAACCAATAAATTATATAAAAATGTATTCAAGTCAATGGTGGCCACTTTAAACATTTGTTAAAATAGTAATAGCATTTCATAATCTTGAGTTTATTATTTTGAAAACTTGTAAAATTATAAAAGTATTTCAATAAAAAAAAATTACTTTACAAACCTGTCCCCTTCATCTTTCGTAGCATATACAATTCCGTTCTTATACCATACAATTTTTTAAGAAATTTGGCTTTATTATATAACATTCAGACACAGTTATTGCTTAGTGTAATAAATAATATTGTTGTGTTCCATCTGGATATCGCCTTATTTTTGATTGACTTTTTTTATTTATTTCGTTTTGATTTTCAGTTTTTTTGGTTCGTTGTTTGTAACAAAAAAAGAACAACTAATGTTTTGAATTTTTGATTTCTCACAGTTACAGTCTGCACAGGGCGAAGGTGGTCAAGTTCACGCCATCCAAACTATCACGGAGGGTGGTGCTGCTGGTGAAGTTGTTGACCTCAATTCTGTTACAGAAGCCACATTAAATTCTGAAGGGCAGATTATATTAACTGCAGAAGACGGGCATGGTAAGTTAAAATTAAGTTTAGTTGTTTTATTGAAAGATATTAAAATTAGAAGAAAAAAAGCTTAACTAGAAACTTTATACAAAAAAATCAAAACTGTGAGTTTTATATTTCAATAGATTTAAGAAAGAGGATATTAAAAATCTATTTGATGAAATGATTTTACATAAAACCCTTATTCTGACTTTGAACTTTAAGGCTGGATATTTGAACCCATACTACCCGATCCTAAATTTTTTTTCTTTTACTGTATATGTACAACTATACCTTTAATGTGTTATGTAGCTATCAAAGGATAACATCAATATGATTTGTTTTGGATGCTTACTAAGAGTATGAAGATATCAGCTGGATTAGTTCGGGGCCTCAAGGCATGTTGCATCCAAAGTAATTCGATCACTAGCGATAGTACCATTTTAAATATGTGGTAGATAAAAGACATCCTATCATACTACATTGTGGTGTATATCTGATTTTGTATATATATCTAATTTCTCTTAATATTCCGAAAAATAAACACCACTAAATGAAGTCTTCTTATATATTTTTTATGTACTTTTTACAATACACCCTCCTAACATTTTTTGCCAAAAAAGGATTTAGGGTAGCATCTGATTGGGTTTTTTTATCGTGGGACAGATAGTCATGCTGCTTATTTGTCCTCTTTCTTAAATCTCTTTAATTTTTGCTTGGTTACTTATATTTAAAAAAATGGACTCATGAATGAACAGAAAACATGCTTGTTCAATTTATCCAGAAAACGTTGAGACATTTTATCTAAAAAATAGTATAATAACTATTATGTATTATTTATTTTTTATAGATCTAATAGCAATCATATTTGAAAACGATCAATATTTTCAGTAAGCGGTGTTATCACCGTACCAGTCACAGCTTCCATGTATCAAACCATGGTGGCCAATATTCAACATTTGCACACTAATAGTGATGGGACTGTGTGTGTGACACCTGTAGTACAAGTACCAAAAGTAAGTAAGTTCCCACCTCGTTGATAATTTTACAGGGACCCAGTTAAAAAAAACATTCCTGTCTTATTTTTATATAAAAAAGAGAGAAAGTGAAAAGTTAATTTGTGGTTTTTCTTTTCATGCTGCTTTAGTTTCTGTTTGTAGATCAATAATTTAATACATTAAAAATTGAATTGTTAATTGTTATTCCCTGTAATATAAAATTCCTGTTTACGTAGGCGTGATCAATGTTCACTAGAAGCGATAGTACCCTTGAATTCTATTTTATTATGACAAAAACAATAGAAATCAGGGAAGTTGCTACCCACCTACGAGCCCTAACAACTAACTGTTGAGATAATTAAGGATTTTTAAAGAAACACGCCAATTTGGCAAACTGATCTTTAGGTTTTGAACGTAGACATTTTTTTAATATTATAAAATAAAATCCTCCCAACTTTTAGCATACGCAACTAATAAGCCTAATTCACAAAGTATCTTTAAATTTTCCTCCTTGTAAAACCTTAGATTGAATGAATGTCTGTTAGAGTTGGGGCGATATTTCACAAACTGTTAATTATTTTAATCTTAGTAAACTGACTTTTTATCGTTTTCTTAAAAGTTTTCTAAAAAAAATATTTCTATCTTTAAAGATTTACACGTAACTGTTTAAAAATAGTCTGTGAATATGGATGTAAATGTTAAAACAGGCGTCGCGTTGCTTTTAGCCTTAACAACTGCCTGAACTCTAGCAGACTTCTCTATCTTTTCATAAATTCTATTAAAACTTATTTATTATATAAATATACCAGTTATAACTGACGATTGTTTTAAATTTGAATTAGCCATGCAATAAAATGAGGACTATTGGCGCGAGAAAAAAAAATCGATTTGTTCAACAGCTGTTACGAGATTCATATAGATCAAAAAATTCATGCCCTGACCGCGAGAGAGTTAGTGATCGTTTTGAGCATTACTACGAGTAAATGTAGACTCCATTTTCTATCCAAATTCGATGTATTTATGACCTTAACTAAGGCATCACATCACATAAAGAGCAACGTATCTCATCAGCTTATAATTTTCTTGACAGGCGCTGTATCGTATTGTCTCGAAGGATAGAACAGGAACACTACATTATGAGGCAAGTAGAGTTTTGATTGTTTTGATTTCGTAGACTCTCTTTTGTTAATTTTGCATTTCTTTTAATTTGGTTGTTTTGGCAAATGCCTACAAAAATTCACTGAGATAATGTTAACATTTTTAAGCATTTCGGCACGTGTTTATTTCATTTATTAGATGTTTACAGTGTTGCCAGTCTAAAGACTGATTATTTTCTTGTTGGTGTTTATATTGATTACTAAAATCCTAATTTCAAAGAACAATAAATTAATTATAATTGCCTATTATGCAATAAACGGATATTGCATCGAGAATGACACAGAGATAGACGATGTCAGATAACCTGCAGCTGGACTGAAGATGAACTTTGCGGGACCGACCGTCAGATAAGTATAACTTGATATTCTGAAGACCAAACAGACATACTACACTGAATAAGAACGAATGGAAGCATCAGGAGGACACCTATGTCAAAAAATAGACCGAACAAAGCTGAATAGATAGATAAGTAATATTTATGCCAGGAGAGAGTCGAGGAATGTTATTTAATAAGTTTATGAGTGTATTAATAATGCATAATCTCAGTTTATTTTCGTTTTTTGGTATAAAACTATTGCCGACATAAAAAAACCATTAAAATTATATACAGGATCGCATTAATGCATAATTTTAAATAAAAGTTATATGGATTTGAAAAATACATATTTTTGGATATACAAGGTGTTGCATTTTTGCATAGAAACTAAAAATTTATATTTTTTTAAATTGAACACCCTGTAATTTATTTCATTTTTAGAATGGTTTGGTAATACTGTACTAAAATACTTTAAAAAAACACAAATCGTTTATTTAGTAAAAAACTATTTTTTACTTGTCACTACATCTTCACATTTAAAATAAAATAAAAAAAACATCAGTTGGCAAATTATTAAAAGTCTGTACATTTTTTCGTGGCCTTATAAACCCTAAACTTTTTCTTATTTCGTGTATTGTGTTCATGAACATCCTGATTATACCTTAAAATATTTTGTAAATATACTAGGGAGATTCCTGATTTAATCTTAAATATAAATAGCAGAGAATAGAACATCAAATATGTTTTAACATGCAATCACTGAAGTACATTTAACATGGAATTGATTGGTTCATATAATATACAGGTTGTTGCATTTGAAAAAATTGAGTAAATTGAACAAATTAGCAATATTCCAAAACACTCTGTATAAAATAAACCAGTTCTATCTCCACTATTCGTTAGTTTAGTATCTTATGAGTGTATTTTAAACAATTTTGAAATCATTGTACCTGTGGGGATATGCCTTCTTAACCCTTTCACCATTGACTTCATTGTAATGAAGTAAACAATGTAATAACTTTCATATTTATAGAAGTTGATTTAATGACTTTTACCAATTTATTGAAACAATTGATCCAAGTCATTTTTAAGCGACATATTTCATGGTGTCCACAAGGCCAATTTATATTTGTGATAGCAAAACTTATCAAAGATTTAAGAAAAATCAATTTTTATAGTAAGGTAATTTATCGCCTTTTTCAGGTACTGTACATTGATATTATTGAAATATATAATACTATTCCGAACATTTAATTGTCAGCCAATTTGTACATAAAATGATTAAATATTTTTTTCCACATACATATTTAAATGCAGTTTGTTACAAAACGTGTAACACTAAACATTTTTATTGAAAGACAACATTGGTTGACAAAAGTTATGACTAAAAGTAGATACAAATTAAGTTAAACTTACTCGTCAAAAAATCGTAAGAAAAAAGACATCTAGTACATCTTTTTCCTCTTATCTTAACTTAACTTTTACTTAATTTGTATACATTGTCTACAATTCTTTTTTGAGTCCTGATGATGCCTTAATCGGCGAAAGCTCTTGACTAATTTTTAAAATAAAGCGAAATTGTTTAAACAATTTCTCCTATACATACTTTAAATTCAAAATCTTTAATTTTCTCCTACTACACAGTGTGGACATACTTACAACCCCTTTGAATAATAAAAGTGCTTACAATGTAAAAAAAATCAGTTAAAAACATTTTCGTAAGCTAGAAAAATAACCGTTTGTCCCAACAATAGTTTTTAGGGCTTGTAGATAGATATGCCTTGGTCTTGGTAACATCATGATGTAACATTGATGTATTGGAACACGTAAAAAGTAGAGGTGTAATTAAATGGCATAACAGTTGAAGAAAAATAACTGTTTGTGCCAACATATAGTCGTTAGGGCTCGTAGTAGTACCTAAATAAGTATCTAAATACTGTTAACACTGCATTTTTAGGTTGAGCCAAACTCTGGGGACAACATGGATACTTTGACTGTCACCCCTAGTGGTATAACCACCCATTCAATGATGATCCAAAGTTCTGGAGGTGAAGCCCCGCAAGTACTTCAAGTTCTATCCCTGAAAGACGCAACGGTGTTATCGAAAGCGATGCAAGGTATAGCTGACGTCAAGACGGAAGAAACAATAATCAGTGACCAATAGATTGTAAGATACATAAAGAATAATGGTTTAGTTATGCTTTGATAGTTCATTGGAAAGAATATCTGAGTTAATGTTTTTAAATTAACGTATATATACATATATGTTTTTATAATATGTGTATATATATTTACATATAAATATGTGGAATGTACAGAAAAAGGTCTTTACACATTATGTTCAAAAAAATTGTTGGAATTAACCTCTAAAAAATATAGGGCTTTCTCTCCTTCAATTATACCTACTGTGTTGATATTGGAAATCTTTCGCATTAATATTTATAATAAAAAAAAAATGTTAAAAACGAATTTTACAACTAAAATCCTTCATTTTATACTAAAAATACGCCAAATTATGATTAGCAGTAACATTAAAATAAAATTGTTCTTTTATTTAGGTAAGAAAGACTTGCATTTAATAAATGTATTGATGGATCGGAATTTTTGCGACATGCTCTAAAGGGATGAGTTCCTTGAATGTCAAAGTTAAGAATTTTAATTATATTTGTCCGTTTAATAACGCACTATTTATCAGAATTTACTTTAAAATCAAATGTTATATAATTTTTATGTTTAATTTTGAGTAAATAAAATAACTGCCTACATAAAAATCGAAATTATCCAATGAAGCTAACATTTAAATATAGCCAAGCATATTTTCCAAAAACAGTAGGTAACAATTTTTTCTTGTATCATACAATTTTAGAAAGTCTTTCAGTAGTATTTACTGTCTTGTTTTCTCATTTTCTGCATTATTTAACATTGAAACGCATTTATTTTAATCATAAATTGACCGAGGGTTTGTAAATAGTTCTTTTTTTAATAATCTTTGGATACTGACGTGAAAATTTTTTACTTAAGTACTAGGTGTGTTCTGATGCCCCATTATTAAAAAAAATGCAAACAAAAGCAACAGTAAACAAATTAAAGCTCAGTAGAAATAAAAAATACAATTGTGTTTATTATAATGAAAAGAAACTAATAATTAAGTTTTTATCATCTTTGCTCACAGCACAGCGTCCAGTATTTCAATTGTGTCTGCTATCTGGGCCTTCTTCTATAATCAGTTTTTTATTTCTTCTTCTGCATCTTAACGATATACTTTATTGTCTTTTAATTCTACTTACCATTTTAACTATTTTTTTGTAGATTGCATTTCCGTTTACTGATGTAATCAGAAAGCCCACGCGATTTTAAAATGTTTTAGCTTACCAAAAATGTTGCACCAATACGTGTTTTATAGCTGTTTACACCTACATTTCCTGACTACAACGAATTTATCACACTTTTTGGTAACTTTGCATATAAGACTACGTGGTATATAAATACACTCTAGTATCGAAAGGTTAAGAAATTTTATGAATACTTTCATAAATAAATTTGATGAATGTTATAGAATAGATAACTATTTTATAACAATAATTCATTTAACTTTAGTAAATACAAGAAATAAATATTGCAAAGTTCAACAATAAATGTAACTTACATATTTAGCCCTGAGTTAATATTCATAACAATCTATATTTCTGATTTAAATGTCTTTAATTATTAGTCATTTCGCATCGCTAGTCTTTAAGAAATAAGTGAAACTTAAAATGACATTTTTAATGGAAACATGTCAGTTTATGCTTGGATTATTTCTTAACGACTAGCAGTGAAAATGGACCTTGTACATATATACAAAATTCTCTCAATACTGACTTTTCCTGATTTATAAATTAAATGTAACGTTTATGATTACAATTTTGTAATATTTTTTATGTATTACATAGTTTCTTTAAAATATGTATAGTTATTCAAAACATTTAAGACGTTATCTCTTATTAAAAGTTCTTCATATAATTATGTTTTATTACTAAAAATTCTGATTTTTAATTAAAATAACAAGATTTAGATAAGAAGTGTGTTCTTCTGTGACTTATGGCTTCCTAAAGAAAGGGAACGCGTAAATGTGTAGTGGATGGACGGCTTCTATTTATGATATTCCTTGATCTTTCGAATCTTGTTTTATTCTGCAGTTAATTTTCACTGGTCGTTATCAACATCGAATTTGTGAAAAATCATGTTGCATAAATTCAGAGCACAAAAACAACTTTTGTAATCGTGGAAAATTGTTGCGCAATAATGCTATCTGTTAAACTACAACCATAATAAGTATTGAAAGGAATACCATAGTACATTTTTGTTACAAAGCTTTGTACTATTGGCTAAAGTAGCATATTTGATTTTGTATTGAAGATTTCATTTATTAATTCTTTTATTGTCAAACAAAAGCATTAATAACAAAAATATATACTAGATCTCAAAACTATTGTAGCTCCCTATGTTCAACTAATACCAAGTGCTCTTGCCAGTGAAATAATTTTTCTAAATATGTCTATACATATATCTTGAACCTTCTGTGGTGTTTATTATAAGTGTGTGTATTTGGTCTACACATTATAAATAACTGATAAGAGCTAAAAGAAAAGTAAGTAAATTTGGGATTATTTAGAATTTCATAAAATGTACAATATAGCGAAACCAACCCATATTTGCAGTTTTATTTAAAGAGGTAACGAAATTTCGTTTCGTCATAATCAAAACTTTTCCTTAAATAGAATTTTTGGTTTTATACATAGCAGTATTGAGGAAATTGTGTATTAAATTGTTTGACATTTAAATATTATATTTCCATAATGTGATAAGATCTTTATTTGGCTATAGATGTAAAAATAAAATTGAAATAATATTCACAATATATTTGTTTAAGTTTTATTGAATTATAACAATTTTGTAAATATTTTAGCTCTTGTTTGTATACTTTAATCAAATGGACCTCATTATTTATATACTTATTTCTAAAATTAATTGGTATTGCGATTTTTGTTTTTTATTCAGCGCCAATTTTTGGTTACAACAGCTAAAAATTATTGTGCAATATTGTATATTTTCTTTATTAATTTTGGTTGTCAACTTTTCAGTTTTTTTTTTTTGTAAATACATTTCTATATTGTAACTTTTTTTTATTATTTCTACCACCTTAGACTATACGCTTTATGTTATGTGTTATATAACTTATGGGCAAAGATATCTTAACCAATTTTTGTAATTTATATTTTTCCACAATTTTTAAACATTTTATTATTCTGATGAGAGTTATAAATTACTATGATTTAAATATAGAAATGTAGTTTCTATCAATAAATGTTAAATGTATGAGCAGTATATATAATGTATACTTCCTAGTATAAATTTACTGACACGACTTTTGTGAAACACGATTTTTCGAAAATAAATGTTTTGATTTTCTACTATTTTATTTTAGTCGAGTTTCAAAAAAAAAAATGTGGAGAAATATGTCTTCAACAAATTTATTTATGAGAATGCCTCTTAGCTGTATTCAGTGTTCATTTTACATTATAAATAATGCTTGGTGTTAAAGAATTGTAATGATTTTTGTAATATTTGTCTAATAGAATTAAGTTAAAATATTAGGCAAATTTTTATATTTATTCAACTTGAAACAACCCTCTTTCACAACACGGAGAGGTGTATTTTAGTATAAAATTCTATGGAATATCTGGATTTGAATTTGATTAATGTGCTATCATTTTTTTTTTGTTGTGAAAGAAAAGGCTGAGAACTTATAAACAATTCTAAGTTTCGATACAATTAAAAAATATTTCTTCCTGTCAAAATGGTCCCATATCAGTTTTAATTTCTTTATTGTTAGAAAACAGTAAATATTCGATTTTTTTATCACGAGAAAAAATCAGGAGTATAAGGCAGGTAGTCGATTTCTGAAATGTCATCTCTCTGAGCTTGTTTCGACATATAGGCAATAGTATTTTCAGGTATTCTCTTACCTCGAAGTAATCTCAGAAAGTTCCAAAATCTCTGTCTGAATTTGTTTCTTTTATTTGTTTAATGACTTTCTTTTTATGATATTAAACCTATTGTTGTTGGTTAGAAGTAAACTTTATTGCCACTTGTTGGCAAAATGCGTTTTGCTTACTTCGATCAAGTGTCACTGTTGCCAAAAGATGTTTCTACTTAAATGAATCAAGTGGAGTTCACAAAATGTGGAATTAGTCAATTCTGCATATACATTTTTCTTGTTTTACTGGAAATTTATATACTTCTGACTGTGGTTTTATATCTCAAGTTTAGTGTATAAAATTACTGCATACTGTAGATAAGTTTACTAAAAAGTTATCAACACCAATTCCGGTAAAATTAATAATATATGTCGGTATGCTCCAAACTACATTTTCGTAATTTTTATGTTTTTTTTTATGTTTCTTCGTGATGTTTTTTTAGGACCAGGCGACAATAAAAATTATAACTAGTTGGGGCTTTCAATTTTCTAATGATTAACTAATATAATTAAGGGTGGCAGCAAAAGTGTTAATAATATCGAATTAACATCAGTGGATTGCAATAGTTTATTCCATATTAAGGGTCAATTAATGTACATATACATAGGAATAATTATGGTACTTATTACTCGTACTACTACTGTGTATTAGGGTGATTAATTTCCGTAAAAAAATGATTTTTTCGGTGCTCAAGCAAAATATTAATCTACACAGAAAAAAAATTCTCACCAAGTTTAAGCTCTTAATATCAATTTTAAGTACTTACCATTTAAAATGCATGTAAAAAAAAATGTGGGGAATTTCACACTCTTGGAAATTATATTCATTATTAGTGAGAAATCATAATAATTCTAAAAAATTTCTTAGTGTAGAGAAATATAATTGTATTCAATAGAAAAAATTAATCTAAATTATCAATTTCTTACGTTTTCAGGTATAAAAATGGCTGTAAATTCATTAAATATTGGTCAGATGACTTTTTTTATGAGTCAGTCCTTTTTTTCTGCCTTCTTTTGGCGGTTTGCTCGAAATAATTGAAAAAAATATATATATTTTTTTTTAAAACTACTTTGACGACTGGTGAACCAGGGCGAGTTACACAAAAACAACTCTGAAGCAATTTCGAAGAGCATGAAATTCCCCACAAGGTCCATCAAACCGAGTTGCATTATTGTAAAAGATGGGTAAGCATTAGAAATTAAAAAAAAAAAAATAACATGCATTTTAAATTGCAAGTACTTAACATTGATATTAAGAGCTCAAACTTGTTGAGAATTTTTTTTTCTATATATAGATTATTTTGCTTGTGCACCGAGAAAAAAAACATTGTGGAAATGAATCACCCTACAGTGTGTATTTATTGTTACTAGTGAACATCCTACGATCTGAGAGGTAAGACTGGTTATTCAATAATCAGCCTTCCATGTGTAGCATCTGATAGTTTTTAACAACATAAACTGGTACTTGATAAACTTATAATCTAAAAGCTGGTACTAGTTCAAAGATCAAGTAAATTTTCTGTATTCTGAGTTACCATTTTCCAATTTTCTTCCATTTGGCTTCTTATTTTTTCCTTCTTATATCACTTTCAAGTTCATTTCAATCTAGTGACATTCCACAGTCACAGTATATCCTAATTATCTAAATAATTAAAGTTGTAAGTGGTATTTCTGGTTGTCATAAATATCTGCTCTAAAAATATTTCCAACTCAACAAATTCATTAATTTCTTTTGTTTATCCACCCATTTACATTATTGTCTTAAAATACTTTTGACCGTTTATTTATACAAAATGGCTTATATTTTCATGCATATTAAAATGTGTTGATTCTCGCCTATTGGATTTTTGTGTAAATTTAAAATAATGTAAAAAATGTACAGGGTATGCGGTTTAAATTTACATTACAACAACATATATTTATAAAATATATCAAATACAAATCTAGTATATTTAATATATATGTGTAAAATAAAAATGTGTATGAATTGTTATTAAAATAATGGGAGAATTTCACATTTTTGAACCTGATTGTGTTTATACACTGTAATTATTTGACCTGCTAAGTGTGAAATAGCAGTAAATGTACCGATTTTTAGAAAGATAGTGGTTAATTTATTTATATTTTCTGTTTCTAAAACAATTTTATAACTTAAACGATAGGTGTAAAACATGCTTAATAGGTAAATTGAAAACACATTTTTTTGTATTACATTAATGTAAGTTCTTTATACATAATTTGTAAGTAACTATGTAGAATGTTATCACAAGAAATGGAATTTTCAATATATGTTTTTAATTTTACTTATGAATGGAAGTCTCTTTTTAAAAACATCGTCATATAGGTTATACAAAAAGTGATTACGGTCTCAAATAGCGAATCCTAAAGATCCGAAAAACCATACAGAATCCAATTTCATAATCAGAGCTGAAGAGATGGCCAACGACGAAGTGAAGAAACTTACAACGAAATTCATGAAAGAAGCCATCAAAGATGCGCAATTGCTGACGGTGCAAGACACCAAAACGGACATGCTTAAATACGGTTATAAAAGAAAACAAGAAAAATTTTGGAGTTTAGTAGAATTTACATTTTCAATAATAACTCGAAAATAGCTTGAGATATCAAAGAACTGATTTAATTTTTATAAACTACTAGGTATTCTCTAGCTGTATGCATATTTTTAATTAAATGGAAATCCCTAAATATCTCAAAAAAAATAAAAGGTAACGTAAAATCATTTCCATTTCTCCTGTTATCCTGATACAAAGATCCGAGTGCCAAAGTCGCAACTTTGTTGATAACATTTTGGCATAAAGATAATAGAAAAGCGAGGAGGTATTTTAAAAAAGGCGGAAAAATTATGTTTTCTAATTAAAGGCTGTATGTCACGATACTAAATTTAGAACTAAATTAATGCATTTTTTAAGTACTAAAAAAATTCACGTTGCAAACAGCAAATTTAGTACTAAATTTAGTGCTAAAAAAAGTCATTAATTAAGTACTAAAAGTGCGCCGAAATGTTGCGCAGAAGTTTTTCATAGAAAAAGTTGACACGACGGTATTTTCTGTACCCTTTTATTTTTAATTAGCGACAATTTTACATTATCGCCTTAAATAAAGTTCGCTTGTTTGATTTTGTAGGTTTTATTGTGTTTTTTTCGTGGTTTTTATGCTGTATTTGGTTGTTGTCAAGTCAACTAGTGTCAAATTGATAATAAAAACACCATTTACTTGTCTGTTTTGCACATAATATTTCATTTCTCTGTTAATTTTACGTATTAATACGTCAATGCGCGTGCGCCTATAGTAAATTTAGTACTAAAAATTGGTATCGTTGCAAACGGAAAAAAAAATTTTTAGTTCTAAATTTAGTACTAAATTAATAACTTAATTTAGTGCTAAATTTAGTACTTAATTTAGTATCGTGACATACAGCCTTAAGTAACGCAATATTAAGTTCACTAATCAAATAAGCATTGTCATTCAGGGTAACGCAAAATCGACGGTTTTTTTTAGATTTAAACCACTCCCAAACGGCTTGGTATAGAGACATACGACATAAAGCAATCTATTCTACTTATCCGGCTTTGCATACAAACTATGATTTATAAAATAATTCAATAAATCACATTTTCCTTTTAGTGATTTTCATACAAATCAGAACCGTTTTTTAACTTTTGAACGCGTGCAAATAGTTCCGAAATTACATCGGCCAGACAGTTTAAATTACCTACTGTTAGATTAACACAAAATCAAATTGCATTTCTACTGTTATCCTTATACAAAGATCCGTGGACCAAGAGTTCCAATTTCGTTGATAAAATTTTGGAAAATGAAGTTCGTTATCAAGTTTCTGTTTATTTAGGGTAACGTAAAATCAATTTTCTATTATCCTGATACAAAGTTCCGAATTCGAAAAGATCCAATTTCGTCAATAAAATTTTGGTATCAGGATAGTAGAAAAGCGAGAGAATATTTTAAGAGGCATGAAAATGTAGTTCCATAATCAAATAATCGTATAATTTAGGGTAACGGAATTCGACTTATTTTTGAATGTGAATAACTACTAAATGGCTCAAGATGGGGAGCAGTGGCATAGAGCATTATAAACTATCCGCCAAGCTCGATTTTTTTGTAAATTTATGGAATAATTCGATCATTATTAACTGAGGAACAAAGAAAAAAAATTAACCCTTATAGGTAGAAAGCAACTGTGTTTACCCTCTATAATTGCTAGTGCTTTCCTTTCTATGTATAATTTAAGGTAACATAAAATCAATATTCATACCTCCTCGCTCTATTATGCTGATAAGAAGATAAAAGTACCAAGAGTTGCAATTTCGCTGATAAAATTTTGGTATTATAGAAGAGTGAGAAGGTATTTTAGATGGTGCCACAGGTATAAATAGATGCTGGCTTCATTAGTAAAGTGAAATGATTTATATCTCCTAGCCGAATTTACGGAATGAGGAGAGGGCATTTTTAATAAAAGGCTCATGGATTGTAAGAATCAATATTTCTTTAGAGAAAGATTATAGATACATGACAATTTAAATAAAATAACAATGTCCAACATTTAATATATAAATTAGATATTTGAATGTGAAAAACAAGTTAAATTCTGAACAATGAGCATCAATTGTCTTAAGAGGACGTACAATGTTTCTAAAAGAATAAGTAAGTAATCCATTGCACAAATCTGGTATAATCCGTAAACGAGGGAGGGAAACTCAAAGTCTTTATCACAAGTAGTTGGATAAAGTTAACAATATTGAAACGAAGCAAAGTATTTAAAATCATATCTCGTATATACTAATATACTAACTACCTCCATAACTGTATTTTTGATATTAAAACACGTTTCATATCTCAATTTACTAATTGAGATATTAGATAATTTTAAATTTTTCTAATGTGGTAAAGGCTTCGAGTTTTCCTCCATCTTTAAATGTTTCTAAAGACTAGATTTTTATATAAACAAAATAATATCCTATCTACGTCTTTGGTTAAGTGCTTTCAGTTTTAAACATTATTAAATTCCCTATTCCGCGACAGTAGAAATACCCTGTGTATGTGTCTCACTGAAACTTGATTATATTGTTAAATCGATGAAATTTATTCTTTATTATCAATGCAATTAGTTCCTCATCCCAGTTCCACAACAGTTGAGAATATAAAATAAATTTGGTCACGTGGGGTTTAATGTCGAATATGATCTGATCTCAAGAGATGTGCAACTGAGACATTTGGAATTAAGCATTCCAACTATTTGTCAAAATTGCTGCCTGGGGCTTCGACAGGGTCAGTGATATTATAGTTATATAGACTGCTCAAAGCTAGTCGCATTGCGAGCGGCCATATTAACCCGCAAGTGCTCATTAATCAGAATCGGTTTAGCAAAAATGTGTTTTAAAACAAATTTTCAGCCTTTGAATATAGTAAAAAAATTACCTTCAATAACATGGATGATCAATATATATATAACTATCTATATCATTGACCCTGTCAAATCCGCCAGACCTAGAGTTGCCATATCAATGTATACATGCAACCATTTTGTTTGGAATGATTTTTTGGACGTTTTTAAATTATGTTTGAATAAGTTTCTGTGACACACATGATAAAGACTCCACTGTTAGCTATCCAACTCATAGACTTATTGTATTGGACAACTACACAAGTCTGTTGATGGTTTTAAATAGGCATTAAACCATTTATACAATATATTCGAGAAATGTTCGAGTTCAATTTACATCGGATTGAATGGATTAAAATTACTGTAATGCACATCACTTGATCATTGATCTGTGTTGTATAGCAAATTGAATAGACTGAAATTACTGATTAATACGATATTATTAGAGTTAGTTTTGACAGTTATTTAATGTCAATATTAATTCTAATAGTTACAGGAATTTACTAGCTTAAATAATTTATTTAACAATTTTTCAGACCTTGATATCAATTTCAACAATAAAATTAAATTTTTGTATTATAAAAAATAGAAACAAAAGTTTGCTTGCAAAAAAACCGGTTTGGTTTATATATAATAGGTGAAACTTTTGTTTTTAGTTTCAATTTCAGTACATATCAAATCATAATAAAATTTTAAAACAAATTTCACTGGGAAATTAAAACTGGTAAGGAATGACTAGAAAGTGGGGGAAAATGCGAATATTATGTGAATACATCTTTAATATTCTGAAATTGTCTAATGGCGAGATCCACTGGTAACTGAAATTTGAACTGTGTCAATGTATCCAAACTTCTTAAACTATCTTGAAAACCTAAAAAAATAAAACAATGGTTTTTAAATTTACAGCCAATCTGTGGTTATTAATTAAATCAATAAATTACAATGTCATACCTGTCTTTATGAGATAACTCCATGGCTGATAATATGTCTTTACTAATTTGTTACAAGTAAATAGCAAGGTTAGCCAAGGAACTAGTTTGTTAGCACTAAAAAAAAAAAAAAAATGGGTAAATAAATTGGTAAATAAATAAACTGAAAGCATATTGAATCAAAGGGAAATAAAATGCACTTACTTGAGAGCAGCACAAATAAATGCTTTGAAATGGGAGTCCGGACTTCTTTTATATGGAGTATGGGTAGAAATAATACTTCCGATGCAACAAAGCATATTCTGTTTATTTGAACAAGGCGACGATCCAGCAATATCCAAATTGAAACTCTGAGAAAGCTTTCTAGCTGGAGTAGAATTATATTTTTCTCCATTTTTCATTTTATAATACTCTAAAACTATTTCCCATGCATGGACCTACAATTAAAAAATGTTTTTGGACCAAAGGTAAAATTAAAGATGATGTGATCAATAAAACATTAGATAATCTCATTATTTTTTACAGATATAGTATATTTTTTTACATAAGTGGTGCTCCAGAGTTGCTCTAGAATATTCCAGAAGTTTTTCGGCTAAAAATCGATGTTTTAGGCAGCATATTCTAGAATAGACACTAGATCGTTCACGTCGACTGGCGATGACTGAGTATGGGATCTCATATAGTTTTCGGAGGTTGACTTAGTTAATCGAGTATTTTGGGTAACGGAAAAAATGGAGGCCGTAAATGGCCCAAATAGGGCAGAGAGGGAGTTAAGGCATTCAAGCAGAACCGAACTAGTTGAAAATGGCTCACACGACATTACATTCCAAGTCAGTGAAAGCTACATATAGCCACACGCATGGAATGTAACTGAGCAAATGAAAAGAACATTCGCTCTGATGTAGTCACGTTTTAAGATTTAATGACTGTAAAAAATAACAAGGTTAGTTTTGATAAATCAATAAGTTTTTAAGGCAATTTTTATACATTTTTCTTATACTGACCTGTGTATCTAGATAATTTCTTCTAGGGAAGCATCCCATTAAAGGTACCAGACTGGTACTGGAAGGAGAATGTGTGCCATGTTGCATAAGATCTCTTATACAAGATGCCAGATATTTTCTTACTGCGGTTGTTAGTTGAACATTGCAAGAAACAGTTTGAGACTCTGAATCACTACTGTACTCTCCTTCTTGATCTTTTTGATATTTACTTTTTTCAGCTAGATCTCGTACTCTAGCAATGGACATCTCTAATTTTGCTCTTAAATCGCTAATAAAGAAAAAGTATTTCAGTACAACTCTGTATTTCAGAGAGGTATATGTAATGTGTAAGAAATCAAAAGGTGTGGCTTGTATGGTGAATTTTAAGAGCCACAATAGAACCATATGGGTCGCAATTAATAGTTTAAAGCTGATGTATGCCATTACAAAGAAAATAGCACTATTATTATATTTGTGATTTGGAATTCATCTCTACAACCTACGAAAACATTTACTTACTGTCCTAATAGATAACTGGTTTTATAATTTATGTATATATCAAGTAAGTGATTACATGATTGCAGATTTAATAGGAGTATAAAAAATTAAAGCAGGTTAGATATGCACTGAATCACAACATTTCAAACAACACCAAATTTCAATAAAATTTAACATCAAAAAGAAACTAGCAATGTTGCCAATATTATGGATTTATTACTGTTATACTATTAACTGTTCTATTTTACATGTTACACTTACCCCCAATGATTAACTTTCATAGACATCTTGAGATCATTTTTTCGAAAAGGCTGTGGTCCACATCCCAACTGTAGCACAGCAAACATTTGTAATATTGTAGCAGTTCTCTGTATCATTCCAATCGTATTTTTACCTGAATATGGATCTTTAAGTGAATGAAATGCACAACCACAAGAACATTTTGTCTTTTTGGTATCAGCCTGGAGATAATTTATGAATCTTTCTAAATCTGCGATTTGTGTTTTTAGTTGTGCAACTAAATGCTCTTTTACTTTTAATGGACTCACTAGTTGATCAAATGCCATATTTATTTGTCTACTAACATCCGCTTGGGACATCTGAAAAACAGGTATAACTTAATGGATTTTCTTTAGATATGTCTATAGAAACAAGTATCTCATCATTTAAATATTTCCCATACAATAGTGACAATCTATATTATTGGCTTGTCAAAAGCACTCTCTATATAGTTATTTGCATCATTGTTATTGTTATCACAAGATTATAATATAGGGGAATCTATAGGATTATTAAATTTGTCTACCAGAACATACCTATGTTAAATAAAAGAAATAAATAATCTTTGGGCCAATCTTAAATATTAGATTTTTATAAACCTACAAAAATCTAATTATGAACACCCTATTTATTTAAAACTAGGCACATGTTGAGATTAGAAACATAAGACAACTTTGTTAAGTATGTGCACATCCAGAACTAAGAAAATTTTACTGGACTAACTTTTGTATTTATAAGGTATTAAAAGTATTTATTTAAAATATCTACATACTCTTATAATAATCAAATTTTACTAGTAAAACAAATAACTTACTTTATAAAAATGTTGCTCATCAATTTCTATATTCATTCTAGTTTTCAACTCATTTAATATAATTTTCTGCCTTTCCAACAATACATCTTGAGGTATCCCTGCCTCACCATTCTCAAAAGCATACTGCTCTAATTCTCTCAACTGACTCTTAAGTTTGTCTATAAGTTCTTTTTGTTGAGTTCTTCTTAACCTTACTGCTTCTGTTATACTTGCTTCATCCATGCGTTCTTTAACAAGTCCAACATCAGGTATGCCACGAAAAGCAAATTCTTCTAAAGATTTTAAGAGATCTTCTTTGTCTTCTGTAGGGGCATTTACTACTTGCCTTAGACGAAATTGTACCTGAGCAAAGTGTGTTGTTAAGGCAAACAAAGATGAGTTAAGCAATTCCTGTTCATCTTCTAATGTTCTTATTTTTTCTACTGTATATCTAAAAAAAAATATATATATGCCCTTCAGTTGTGTAATACTGACATTGTCAAAGTTCTTATTTATTGTAAAAGGACATTTTCTTCTGATAAATATATTTAGAACACTACTTGTAACTATCTATAAAGCATGGTAATGTAAATTGGTGATAATTGATAACACATTTAAATCTGTTATTACAAAATAAAGCATATATGCATTTATTAAATCATATATTTCCATTCACGAAATAAGTAAATAAAGGTTGTTATTTTTAAATGAATGAAAATAACTAACCATTTTATTAGCAAATTGATTAACAGCTTTGTAATGTTTTTCCTCAATAAAAAAATGGAAAATAAATAGTGATTTTACTACAGTTTTTATTGTAAAATATTTGGATAGCTGAAAGCAAAATTTGTATGTATGAAAATGTTGTGCAATTTTAATATACATTTTTTAAATTGAATTTTCGCTTATTAGTAGGGTGGAAAGGTACGATAAAATTGATATACTAACTGGTTATGGTAGTCACAATCATATTCCATTTTTTTCAAATCACTATCAGCCTCTTCATCGTCATTTGGAGCACCTAAAGGGTCCCATCGTTCTCCTCTTGGTTGATCATCTACTGAAAATTCTGTTTCTATGTCCATTTCTGAATTTTTTTCTATTTACAATCTCCGTATGGTTTTAAAAAAATTGACCAACTGTTTACAATTGACTTAGATTAAGCTGACATTTTTCCATTTCCTTATAAAAGTTAACCAGGCGATTGGCATACAGATAACGATAGTATTGAACATTTTATTTCACTTTTGATAACATAATCATACGAAGAAATTGATAAACAAATTCTTATTTTTTATTAATGACATTTAAGTTGACAGTTCTACAAGTTGTCACAGTGTTGCCGCACCCACATGTGTCACTATTTTTGTTAAAAATCGCTATTTAATTGATATGCAATCAAACATACACAAATGTATGTTGTATTGCATAAAAGACTAGAAATATACGTTTTACAGAGCTTAAAGTGAAATTAAAAATTTAAATAACACCAATAAATTAAAATAAAATCACATTTAGTCTGAGTCTGGAATAGATTCAGTAGATTTGCATAAACTTGTTTTAATCATTCTTCATTCTGTTTAAATATGAGTCAGTAAAATTGTAGAATGTATTTTTTGGAATACCCAATTAAATTCTAATTACAGAATTTATTTTGTTTACTAACAACCAATTTCTTCGACAGATGGCGGTCAGCAGATCGTTGCAAACGTATAAGCATAGATTCGTATAAGCTTCAATTGAAATCTATATAATAAAACGCCGCTATCCTTACAAGACATTAAAATGTGGCTATTTTCGCGACAATCACTACGAACGGCAGCACTGAGTGTCAATCCAACGCCCTGTCATCAGATGTCATAATTATTAATATACAGAGTGTCCAGAAATTAGACGGTCTTATTTTAACAGCGTAAACATTCTAAAATAGGAGTAAAAGTTTGTATTCGCTCCGTGCGTGACAGCAGCGCCGATTCATTTGGTACTAATTAACTATTTCTGCAAATACTATTATTATATATTTTTATCGCTTAAATTAATGAAAATTATGTATAATCAATAAAAATGAATAATAAAATATAGCCAGGCAACAGTATTTACTGGAAAATGTATGAGAAGTTGCCTAAGTCTAATAAGTTATCATTGAAGAATTACCTTAAAATGTATAAAAAAAGAATCGTTATTTATATGAATGATTAAAACTGGTTTCCCATCAGTAAGTCACAAAATCACATTCCAGCCACATATAATAATCAAAGGCAAAAATCTTGGAATCTAGTCCTTGCTGAATGAACAATTAAGAATAAAGGGATATTAAAGAACATCGTAAAATGATAATTTGTTTATTTAAAACCTTTCAAGTTTTTGATGTCTACTATTTCCAGCATTACTGTTATTATTACAAAAATAACGGTAATTTTTCTTCTTATTGTATACCTATCCATTTATTTCTTTGATTTAATTTTCACTTTGCTACTGAAATTTTTTATGTAAGTTTCACTGTTTTTTTTTTGCTAGTATTTGTACAATTTTCAAACACAGCAACTCCGGTTGCTTATTGTAATGTTTTTACCTACTTTTTAAAAAAAAGTAAAATGTATACGTGTATTTGATATGCCAAAATTACAAAATATCGCCCTAAAATGCACGAATTATCCGCAGCTAGCGCTAGTATCGCTTTTGCTTCCCTTTCCATGACTTCGCACGGAGTGAGGTCCGAAAACGTTTTGTTTCCGAAATACAGGGTGTATTGAACAATAACAATGTGAAACAGAAAATGGTTATTATAAATACTCCCGAGTGAGATGAGAAATAAAAATGGCTGCGCCCATAGAGTCGTATCTTGTTCTATTGATACAATACATCGGCTTTCTACCCCACTCCAGTTCATTGGTTGTGATATGGCAAACCTGTGGGCCTGGTGATTTGACAGGGTCAATGACATAGTTATATAGATTGATTATGCATGTTTTTCAAAATAAAGATAAGCTTAGGCTCGAGACGGCGCTGAAAACAGCGGAAACCTCGGAACTTTGCGCAGTAGAAGCGAATTTGAATAAAGGGAACTCATAATGCATTTAAGACTAATTTTTTAGAAGAGTTCACCTATCTAGATGTTACACCAAGCTTATTAATCTAATGAAGCACTACCCGATACTGAAATTGTTAGACTGCTATTCAGTACTTTTTCGTTACCTGAAGTTGTAAGTTGAAGTAACTAGTAAAACAGTTTTTTGTACATTTACAATTAAAAATAAGGCACATCTAAAACACATTATAAGTACCACAAAAAAAAATAAAATAAAAATATTTAAAAATTAGAGCAGAAAAAATTTTAGATGAAAATTACAGTTAAAGTAAACGGTTTTTATTTTTAATAACAATTTAATTTTAAGAAATGATTTAATTTCAATTGTTCGTTAACACAAGTGAAAAATATATATGCCCGAACTCTGTTAAGGGTATCTATTTTTACATTAAACTAAAGGGCAATTTTTTATCGATATTAGTAATTTAATAGGAGTGAAATAATCAGATTTAAGTTATAATGAATTTATTATAAACAATATTAAAATTGACTATGGTATGTTGGAAATGGTTCAATAATTTCAGACATTTTAAAAACTGCACAATAAGATAATTATTAATAATCATAAAATATAATAATAAAACAATGACTTTTATTACAACTAATAGTTTCATAATATAATTTAATTAGGTTTCATATAATAAATTTATTTAAAATAATTCGTACTATAAAACAAAAAAATAGTTATATAAAAAAATTTTGACGCAAATCAATATGTACAGACAATTTTCACTTGAAGCTCATCACAGAGTAAACCTCGAACTAAATATTACATATTTAATATGAATCAGTGCATTATATATCTGAACATACGACAGAACATTGATATATAACAGGGGTATGTGAAGTTAAACCCAGGAATCTTTACCGGCAGGCAGACTGGTAAGTGGTGCCTGCGACTGCCCCTCCGTTAGGTGGTTAAGGCTGGCATTTCCTAGGCTTGGTTGGCGATTACGTTTTTTGTCCATATTCACCTGGGCATATAAAGGTTCCGGCTGTAAAATACTTTCACTTTAATAGTCAATTTTTATTTCAACAATAACTAATAAATGTTCTTACATTCACATACTTTTAAATTCATTGGATACAATCATCTTCATCTTCTACATACACATAAAATTTTAATACACCTAGTTTCCACTTTAGGCAAAGTTCATCTTCACGGTCAGCTAACCATTGCTTTTGCCCAAGGCCGAAACTAGCTGTGCTGTTTTAAATTTCCTTAATGTGAATAAAATGTTCAGAAATAAAAAAGCTTAAATGTTCATTTATTTAAAAGTCCAAAATGGCCTGTCTTTCTTACATGTTTCTGCAAATCTTCCTCTTGTGCAATGAATTTTTTTTGCGAACAATATAGAATACTACTACAAGTTAATTAACAGTGTTTTCAAGAGTTTTCAATACTTTTTTAAACGAATATTTTGGGACGATTTGAATTTATAGTTAAAATATGAAACGATACAAAAAAAAATAGTTCTAAAGTATCTATACCATAGAAACAATCACACAACTTGGATTTTATTCAGAGGTGTGTGTAGTTATCACAGACATGTCGGTCATGGCATACTTTAGAAACATTTTTTATAAAAATTAATTTCTTTACAAAGACAGGTCATATTTATCGACAACATTTTACCAGCGGAAATGAACAATATTTTCGTCTGTAAAATTAATTTGATAAATATTTTTCTGGTAACAGCTTCTGAAGAGACCAGTAATATTGTATTAGTGAATATTATGGTTTATTAGACATTAATTACGAAACATAAACAAATTCAAGTACATGTACAAAAAAATACTGTACAACAGGTAAGATATATGATTGTTGGTTTAATTATACAAAATAAAATTACAGGAAACCTAAATATTTTCAATTATGTCCAATATTGACCATTAAATCAAAATACAAACTTCAAATTACCTATTATCCAGTGAAATCATTTATGCTATAAATATTGAAAAAGTGGTTCTGATTACAAATTTTTTTTATGGATATAAAAAAAAATGAATGAAGGAATGTATGTGAATGTTCAATTCTTTATTAGATTTAAATTACAACATAGAGTAATTCACTTTATTTTATCTAATGTAGATGTTTTTTGGAACTTGTATATAAAACAGTCTATTTGAAGGCTTTTTATTTTTCAAAAACAGTATTATAATAGATATTTCGGGCACAGTTTTAGTTCCTCAGTGCATTTTCCGTTTACATCAATAAATACAATTTTAATTTGATTGTAAATATCATGAATTACTCTACCTTGTTTTAAGTAAAATCTTAGACGAAATTTTAAACACATTAAAACAGTATATACAAGTCTTCAACAAAACTCGTATCGCATATGACTAAATTGATGTCATCAGTTGGCTAAAAGTAACATTAATAACTTAAATAGTAACCCTAAAACAATGTCACTGATCTATTTGATACGGATATTGTTGAAGTCTCGTTATTATTTAATCATCAGTGTTTTAATAGCTGCCACCTTCGAAAAATTGTTATAAACTGTACAATATCGGAAAATTACCAATATTAGAAGTTGTGAACAAAATGAATTACCCCAATATAAATGAACACTATTGTATCTTTTGGAAACGATGTATTGCTTCTCAATACAAGTAGATTCTAAAAACGGTGGACATTATAATTTTTTAATAAGGAATTTGCAGTTATTTTCAGTTGGGTTCAAATATTAATACAAAACTATTTTATAATGAAAACCATATTAGGAATAATAATTTCAAGATAATGTTAATTTTTAGTTGATTTTTATACGTGTACTAATAACTATTTATTCTTTATTGAGAAATATAACAACCATTTGTAGTATTTACTTGCTGTACGTAGGAGCAATACCATTTTATTCATTTAGGGATTCTATAGAGTCATTTACATTGAATATATATTTACATACCTTTCAGATTATATGATTCTTATTGGCAATTTTCGTTAGAAAATACGGTTTTGATGTCATCATTTTCAAAGGTGCAGCTAAAGTTCGAAGTATTTATTGCGTTTGTCAGTTCCTCTGAAAAAGAAAACAGTTTTCGCAAATTATTTTTCAAAATCTTAATGTTTCAAAACCTCGTCTAGGTTAAAGGGTTTGGGCGATCTAGAGCTAGCTAGGGCCTCTCGTTTTCAGCTATGAGCAGCAAACCAAAGGCCCCGAGCAGCTGCAAGACAGCCTTACCTGGGCCTAAAAGGATTGGCGCCTTATGGAAGCCAAGCCGCAACGCTACCAGCTACTTGCTGCCAGGGCCTTCTAGTACTAGCGGATCGTCTCAAAATATGCTATTCAAAATACATACAACAAACTAAGCAAGTGTTTTTTAATCAAAACAACTCTTGAAATCAATCCAGATGAGACTAGGTTTGTTGAGTTTGTTGCTTGTATTATAAATATTCATATTTTTACTATTTTTGCTAATACTATCGCTCACTGCCCAATGCCAATTGCCCGTGCCCACTGCTGCCCGCCACAAACACACCTCGTATCATCAATTAACTACATTCGCTACAAGATCATACATTTTGCTCAATTTTTCGCTCTATTGACGATATTGTTTAAAAAACCGGTCAGAGTACATCAAGGTTACATGAATTCTTGTGGAAGAGAATGAATTCCTTCACCACTGCACTATTAGCTTCTAATACTGCTACTTTTCACTTACATTTGTAGTATCTTCACAAAATTAAAAAGCTTTTCGATAAACTATATTCGTCGATGCCATGCCAAAACAATGCCGGTTTCGTATTTTCAGCGGAAAAAAATTAATTATGGTTACCTATTGGTTTTTTTATAATTATACCATGCGATTTATCACATAAACAATTATAAAATGAACAGAAGCGGTTTTGGCATTGACCCAACGAATATGAGATATCTTCAGTTGCCCCTCTTAACGTAGGTGTGATATTAATTAAGTCAAAATTCAGGCAAAAGCTTGAAGATGAATATGACATGAAATTGTGTATGCAAAATTTCAGCACTCTACTCATATTAAAGACTGAAAATTATTATTTTTTAATTAAAACTCAATTGCAAAATTAAGTTAATTTCGTGAAAAATGTGTAATAGTAATATATTTACTCTCAAAGGCTAAATTTCTTTATAACAAGTTATTCAAATTCGTTCCAGATTTAGATATTACAAACAAACCACGAAGAAGCCGAATTTTCATTATACTTTGTGCCAGTTGAACCATTGTTCAATAATTGTACTATAATACTTAAACATATAGGATTTACTTTGAAATATGGTTCAAATAACAGTAAGGTTTGATAAGGTCCAAATTATGCTTTATAAATAAGTGTCCAATTTAAGTGAAAAAAACTATGAAACTATGTTTTATTTTCAATAATTAAGTTACATTGATAATTAACAATGATAAATTACATTACCAACGGTCGCTGACACTGGCTTTGAGAATTATTTCAATTTTTTTTATAATAATTATTAATTAACCGGGCATAAAGTTCCTTTAAAATTGTATAATGCAGAGTTGTCTTTTAGAAAATTTTCTTATTATTTTAAAAATGTACAATAAAAGTATTTGTCTATTTTTAGTAACTTCTGAAGTAAATTAGTAGGTTTTTATTTAGTTTAATAATTAAAATTTATTAACAATAAAATAAAATGATAAAAGTAATTCATATAAGATACCAAAAGCGACACACTGAATACAAGATGACTCTAAATTTCGACTTTCAAACGTTCCTAGTATGTGTTATAAGAGCTAGAAGATGTCATGTGCTGTCAGTACTTAATGCAGATATAATTGTCACATATGGAATAGTGGTCAGCAGAGCAATGCTTACCTCAAAATTTTGATCCCCTATCTTCTAAATTTCTAATTTACTGTATATCCAATACAAACTTCATTTAGTGGAAATGATAGGCAGTGAAAAGTTTTTAAATTATTATCTTTAAAACAAAACTAATTAACGAGATCTGAAATGAACCAGGGGCTTTACAATGCATTGAATAAAATCAAACGTAGTTTATAATACATGTAGAAAGAATTATTATTGAAAAGCGATATTAACCTTATAGGGATTTTAAGACAATGCAAGAAAAAACAAATAATAATAATAACACTCTCCTTATAGTTCAACCTCTTATGAGTGAACCTCTGAAGCTTTAAAAGAAGAGCTTGTATCGAAGAGATTAATCATATATCCCACCCGAAATCACTAGTGTTCTATACGAAGGGACGAAAAAATAAAAATGAAAATGTTTCAGATTGTCTTAAACAAATGTTTCCGACATGGAACTGAAATGATATAAATAAAAAAACACAAATAACACATCTTAATTAAATCAATAATAATAATATTTACTTTCAAGTTAAAGACACATTGCTGTCCCAACCAGTTTTTTCTGGTTGATGAATATACAAAGAATTAATTACAGCAGTATATCATCTTCAGCTGATATGACATTAAGAAATTTGTCCATTCTAGATTGCCCTGTAGATAATAAACTTATCCATACAAAATTTATATACAAGCAACACTTGTTTCAAGAAGTGATGTAATGAGTAAAAAAAATATTTGAAAATAAATATAAAAACTACCTTCATGTAAAATACCTATAGTGTAATGTTTAGTCAGTACCTACTTTACATATTTAATACTGTATTTAATTGTAAATGCATATTTACTGATTACATAAAAATATGTACATACATACTATAAAAGAACTAATTTAGATTACAAATTAATATATTTAAACTTTTCGTGAAATACAGGGCACACTACTTTTGATGTTTTGGCCAAATATATCAGAAAATATGCATGTATATCACAAATTTTAGGTATTATCCAGTACAAAAGGTCAAAAACATGTGAGGCTTTGACTATGTGCAATATTTTCTAAAATATTTTGCGAAATATCGAAATTGTAACACCTTGTATGGCTTTTAAGCTGAATATAGACGTTTAAAGAAAGCTTGGACCCTTAGTTTTCTAATTTTCAACAGGTAAAATTTGATTTTGGGGTTTATATTTAATATTTTTTTCACAATCTGTAGTTTGATTAATAGGAGAGCAAATCTATAAAAATTGTTAATAGAATGGAGTCGGAAATGATTAAAATGTATTGTCTTTATAAAAATAATAATTCTGACGATTTTTATTTGGAAAGCAAATAATATACAGCGTCCAAAGTTCTGCAACAGTGGCGTGACCTTTCTTAGCTGGTAGTCCATAAGGGTTACAAAATAAAAGTCTCTGGCAAATGCAATGCCAAACCTTCCCTCACACACATACACACGGCTATCATGTTGAAATATATTCAACTATACAGGACGTCCCAAACAAATATTCTGACCTGCTTAGCTACACGTCCTATCTGACAAGAATTTCAATTTGTGAGTTAAAGGCATATTTGTGATGAGACATGCATCTACAATGTTTTTCTAAGCAAGAACGTCCTAACTCCAATATAAAGCACTTGTTTCTTACATTCAATTTCGTCCTAATATTTACAGTGGACAATATGAAAACAAAATCATTAATATCTCAAAACTTTCCTCATGTTAGATAGAACGTTTTAGCTAAGCAGAGCAGAATGATGGATAAACTTTTTTTACCACCAAATGAAACGTGTCGGATTTTGATTAATTTTAAGTATTTATACCTATAACAAATTATCTTTTTTTAATTTCCTGTTTGTATGTATACAGATAAGGAAAGTATAGGTATCATGATTTTTTTCGACGGAATTTTACGTTTTGGTGTCCTCTGAATCCGTTTTGACTATATTCGCGATGATTTCTGTATGTGGTGACTGTATACTCAATATACATTTTATAAGTATGAATAAACAGTAACTATATGGTGGCAAATCCATGTAAATTCAAACTTCTGAACAGTGCTTTCAATTAAATCCAAAATTTCACCATGAATAAATTGTCCCCTGGCCATAGTACTAAAAATTTCAAAATAAAGAGGTCTTTTCAGTTAAATAAAAAAGGCGAGTAATCGTTGATAATTTTTTTGGACCGGTACTATACGATGAATATTTTTTTTAACAGGAAAGAGAAGGCACTGCAATAAGAAGTGTACAATCTTTATCCTCATTGCGAAGGATTGCCAAGATTGATATTTCTAAGACGAAAATCGATTAAATATATAGGTACAATTTTTTTAACCCGCAAAATTTTGTGTAAATCTTATGGATCGCCAGTTATGAAACTGCACACTGTTGCTATGATTAATTTATTAAATTAAAGGATGATGTTACTTGTAATTTTTGAAGTGATTCCTAAAGGTGATAAATTAAATGGTCGTAAATCAAAATTGACTTGTTTTAAACAACTTTTAAGGGTCAAGTTTTATTTAAAACACCTTTTATCTTTTTATGAATACTAATAAAATAGATAATGTGGACCATATCGTTCGTCTTTTCAGCTAATAGCTGCACTAACACAATATTTTAATTGTTCGACATCTTACTAAGGAGTTTAGAATTTAAATTACTCGATAATAGTTTATAATATTGAATACAAAAACGGCTAGATAAGACATAGAGGAAGACCTACAGCATCCGGAACTGCTATTTATTAAAAAATTAAGAGCTCACCATCTCAACCTGATAAAATGTAAAAACTTGTCCATTGGTTCTTACATATGCAATAAAATAATTTGGTTATAATCTAAGAGAACATTACAACTCTACATAGATGAGGCAGTTATTCGTTAGTATACTAAGATGTGTATAACGGCTGTAAAAATTTCTAAAAAACCCAACATATGAGAACCAATCACGAACAATATAAACTTTATTCTTTGTTTTTGAGGCCGTATTGGTTGATTTTTAATGTTAAATATACATAAAAATGTCTATACTGCTGTTCAAAATTATTGCAACATATAAAACAGGCGGATAAAAATTAGACCATTGATGACTGGAGGAAAGTCCTATTCTCTGACAAAGCAAAAATATTTATGGAGAAATAATGGATGACATGTCTAGATTTATGAGGTGTAATAATTTTGAACAGCCATATATGGCTACTGCAGGGCGATAAGGGTAGAAGTCAATTTTTTACCATTATTAATTTAAACAAATTTTTATTGAATCAAAAAATACAAGATTTTGTACAGATTCATCTTCTTATGGGTACATAAATTGAAATTAACAGTAACAAACATTTGGAAAAAGTATAACTTAAAAATACTGTGTTTTATTTGAATAGATCATAATGAATTATGCATTTGTAGAAAATGGTATATCTTTAAAATAATATATCGGCATTTAATAAGCTGTTGTGGATTAACTGAGGAAGAACAATTATGCTCTCTTTCATGTTTTTGATACATCCCTGACTCTACGTTAAAATGTTATCTTTTAGATTTATCTGTATTGCAAGGTTTTATATGTAACTTAAAGACTTTAGCAACATCTAATTCATCTACCGCCAAAAAAATGTTATATCGTGAAAAGCCTAAGAATTTGTTATAGAACCTTTTCAAATAATTTAATGTGTTAATAATTTGTACATAGAGCTTCATGATTTGCAGTGTAAGTTCGACTTTACATTATAACCTCACATGGGACTTTATTAGGCATTCCAAATAAAATGGCTGCCTAAAGAAATTGACACAGTCAATGATATATAGATTATATCAACTATATACTGTCAATTGAATTGAAGTAAAAATATCGCTATGTTGTTTTATTCCATGAGAGTTAGATTTTCTGTTAGGTAACATTAACCAATCGAAAAAAATTGTCAACTGACGCATAGAAATCGCCAAACTTTCAACAGCTTGTCCTGAAAATTCGATATTTTCTACTAGGACCCTTTTCACCCTGCAGTAGCCATACAAAAAAATCAGTTCAAAATTAATTTTAAACACGTTTGTTTTAATAATAAATGAAGAAAATTGATTCATTATTTTATCTGAGTAATGGAAGTATGTGTTACTCTAAGGTTAGGATGTTTGCAGATGATTTAAATTTGTTTGGTCATTTTATATTTATTTGAATTAGAAATAAACATGTAAACCTAGGGAATGCTCATCTTTTTTAAATCAGTCTGTACTGATAAAGTTTAAAATAGTTTTCTAGGGTTAGTTGCTCTAAGAGGCTATTTGATAACTTCTTGTTTGTATATTATGATTATGTATATATACATATAAATAGAAAATTATATAAGGAATAATGTAATTTACAGAAAGAAAAAATAAAAAAAATAGAAACAAAATATGTAGGTTCTGGGATATAAATTAGTCACAAATGTTTATCTACATAATTTATGAATTATATATTTAAAATTAATTTTAACAGCTGTCTATAGTTTTATTTGTGATTATAGTTAGATACGAAACTAAAAACATATCTAATATAAAAATAAAAAAAGTTATGTCAACCCCACTGAAACGAAATTCTATTTGCTTATAAAATAAGAAAACTGATTATTAAAGAGTATAATTTCTTATATAACTCACATAATCTGAATTCACTTTCACTCTCATAAAAAGTGCTTTTTGAACCTGCTTTACATAGCTGATTTCACGATAGTTGTTATAGTATACCAGGGTCTTAGCGACTGACCAACTTAGAAAATATTCGGGCCTAGTTCAAACATCTCCATCAACTGCCGCATCGGATATTCATAAATGCCTAGGAATTCATCTAAGAGAAGTCTTGCTTCAGTCTAAATATCCACTGTTCATTGGTTGATTTAATACTAGAAATTATAAATGAGTTTTAACACTTCTCTATACTCAAAAGAAAATATCTTGTTGAATATCTAGTTACAATTTAGATCAATTCATTAATTAAGAGTATCGAGTATCTGTGCAAATACTAATAAAATCAGTTTTCAATTGTAGAAAGAAGTGATTATAGAACAAACGTTTTTTTTTTCAGGACCTCATAGAAATATGTGTCTTTTAAACAGTTTCCGTATTTTATTATATACCCCATTTTATGTAGTTTCAACTGTACAAAATGAAAAAAATTCCCGTTGTAGAGTAAATATTTTTAAGAGTTGGTTCTGTTAAACGAGAAATAACTCACTTATTCTAAAAAATATACAAATTGTTACATATTAATAAAACTTAATTTCCATTCAAAATATCCCTGTAGAAGTATTATAAAAAAATAAAACCCAAAAAATGCAAAATAAAACTAATAATTCTATAAATATCTGTTAGTAAAACTATTACGTATTAAACTAAGAAAAGGTAGTTATAGATTTTTTTACAGCCGATATAATAGGAAGGTACAAGGCGACGTCATATTGCTAATTTGAGCAACTCCATCACCAAACAAATAAACGCATTCAATTGACACGGATGTGTAGGGTTGTGCACGTGGGCTTATTAATGACTTACTGGAGGCGGGTTTGGACCTGGGCCGGTGGTATACGTTCGACCTATGACAGCCTGGCTTTCTGAATATGCCATATCCGCCATTGGGATTTCGTCGTTCTGTAAAAAAAGTAATTAATTAAAGGCTTATTTAAAAATAACTGTTTGCTACGTTGGGCATTATACGAAAATATATCAATTTTGATGTTTTAAGAATAAACTGAACACCTTGAAAATTTCTACTTCCTTCTGAGCCTGAGGTGGTGAAAGGTCAATTATTCGAAAGTCAATTGTTTCCAAATCAATTATTCAAATAGATTTTTTTAAATTACCAAATTTCATTATTTATTTATTTACGGGCAAGTCCATTTGAGAAATAAATTACAATTTTAAATTATAATTGAAATGTAGTGAAATATATATAGTGCTGAATTACAAACGTGGTATAATTCATTACATATAGACTAAAATAGAGATAGTCTTGGAGAAGGCACTGTGAGGAGATAGTAATGTGCCAGGCTCCAAAAAATTTTCTCAAAAGACACACAACCCACAATAAACACCCTTAAGAATGAACTGGGGGAGTACACAATCACAGGGAAGAAAACAGTATGGGAACTCTTCAGGGTTCACTTCCCTGGTGTACAAACCATAGCACACACACCGGCTAACCGGAATCTAAACGGACTGGAAGCTCATAATAGATCCAACAGGGAAGACTGGAGGATAGCCAAACAAGTGGTGAACTATGGTAAATTGAAATGGGCAATAAGCTCATTCGAACCATATAAATTACCGGGCATGGTCCTGATATTTTATACAGCAGACCCTGTAACATACTCAGAAGTAGCCTGGCCTTTGGACACAGGCCCAAAGCTTGGAGAAATTAGAGTAACTTTTATACTAAAACCTGGGAAAATAGGACAGGAAATGGCAAAGTCCCTAAGATCAATAAATCTTATGTCCTTTGTACTTAGACTTTGGAAAAACTGTTAGGTATGCATATTATAGATGGAATATTGGTTCAGAGGCCAATATACAAAGACCAGTACGCCTATAGTGCAGGGAAATCAATTAATAAATGGGGTGGAGAACACACTGGAAAACAAGGAAGTAATATGGGAGCATTCTTGGATATCGAGGGTGCATTTGACAATACCTCCGTTGAATCGATCATTAGATTTCTCAATCACAGAGGAATCGAGGACACGTGCGTGTCTAAAGCAGCATTACTCAAAGTGTGATGCGCGGAGCTCTGGGGCTCCGCAAAGCCTTTGTGGGGGCTCCGCGAAGAAAATAATAGTCATAATAGAAAAAAAGCAGTACTATCGCTACAAAAGAGAGGGACTTGGCTTGAGGACTCTTTTTTAGTTAAAAGCCATTAAGAGGAAGGAGGAGGATATTATTTTGCTTGGAGGACCTTTTGAGGAAGGACGATATGATTTTGTTCGGAGAACCTTTTTTTAGACGTCACCAAGAGGGAGGAGGATATGATTTTGATTTTTTTTGTAACGGCTCCGCGAAGAAAGGGGAGGGACCTGGTTAGAGACCTGTTTTTTTTTTTACTAAGAGGAAGGACGATATAGAAAGGTTCCGTCACTAAAAAGTTTAAGAAGCACTGTTCTAAAGTATTCTACAATACTGTATTTTTCAAAAAAGTTTCTACAATATCTAGTATTCTTTGTGCATAATCCTCGTAATTTTTTTTGAGTTAATAGAGGTTCTCCTGCTATGTACTGTTCCATTTTTTAATTGTTCAATGAATATTCTAATTTGATGGCGTCAATAAATTTCCAGATGCATAGGTGACTCGGATATATCTAGAGAATGAGGTAGGAAATGATAGTGAAGATGGTTTTTGACAGGAATGTACTAAACAGTAGAGGACGAGGAAGACCAAGAGATCGAAACAACAAGTACAAGAAATGTTATAATTGATTAATGCGATCTAACGCGTAATCAGGTTCGTCTTTAAAAGTTTTTTCAGTGATTACTTAATGTTTGTATTCCGTGCCCTGGTATATAAAACATTTATATAATTGTCGTTGATTAGTAGCAACTACTTTAATAAATTTATTTAATTTTAACTGAAGGTACCGAATTTGTGAGATAGACAACCTTAAATATAAGCATATTTACCCTTTGGAAGACGCCGGTACTTCTACTGCCTGGGGCAGTGCGTTTCATTGTTCTATCTTCATATCTTGTTCCACTTTGAGATGCCATTGGGCGATTTAAAGTACTATTTGCGTTGTTCGGAGAATTAGGTCCTGCATTACGCGCAGCAACAGTCTTAGTAACAAAATCTTGTTCTTTCCAACCGTGTTTCTTGTAAACGTCCCTCAGATCCTGATGTTGCCACATTGTAAATAAAACTTGTCCAGCGAATTTTAGTACCCTTGGAGTGTATTTTTGTCGTTGCCTAGTAATAGTCATCAGTCTTTCTACCCCACCAGCTTCAAGCAATGACCTAGAAAATTCTGCATTCTTTTTAATAACTTCGTTTAACGTCGCTAAAACTGCAGCAATTGTATCATCTGAAGTGCCTTGATCATGTTGCGGATTGCCAGACGGTAGTTTCTGGACCAAGTCTCTCATTGCATACTTTCCTATGAGTTCTTTGTTGCGTTGGTCTATTGCTAGATTTCTAAGTGCTGTTGCCACCGCACACACCACCCTATCAACTTCCATCCTAAGTAGTTCCACTAAAATTGGAAGGCCTTTTTCTTTGCGCACAGCTGCTCGGATTTCTATACTAGGTTGCCAATAACAAGCTGCTAAATTCTGAAGAGCTCCGGCTGCCGCTTCTAACGTTTCAGGGTTCGAACAACTTTGTAAGAGAGCTAAGTAAGATTGGACAACTTCTGGCTGCCAGAGGAGTTCCATGCCTCGTACTGGTTCTCCTCTGGTTGCCACGCTGGTTATTCCTCCAGAGGCTCCCGTCGCAAAATTATTTTCTTTTGTTTCTGACGACTGGGCGTCTTTTTTCTTCTTGCTGCCTCCAAAACATCCCAAATTTTCACCTGCAAAAATATGGTTGTTCCTATTTTTTTTTTTAAATATGTGTATATAATGTAGTGATGGGTCGCTTGGAAAAGTCCGACGGACTAGTCTGTAAAGTTGTAGTGCGCATGCGCGAAATTAAATTAGATCATTTAACTGAATTTTTTTACAAAAAGGCAAAATATATTTAAAAAAAGAAGAAACGACAAATGATTATATTATGTTTTAACGATGTTTTCTAATTTTTATTTCATATCTTATTAAAATTAACCTTGTAAGATAATTACCAAAAAATCCAAAGGTGGGAAGTATGTTACAAAAAAAAAAAAACAACAAATGCAAATATTGTTCTCAAAGTATTTCTGAAAAAACATTCAGGATGGAGATTTAACTGTCTTCTATGACTAAGATCGACTACTTTTAATTGTGACTTTTCATTGCTTTTCCGAACATGTCCATCAGACTAGTACAAAAATTACTTTTCATGAAAAGTCCTATCACTAATATAATGTAACCAAAACGTAAAATAAAACAGAAATAAAACCCAAAGCCAGTCAGGTTCAAAAAAACTTGTAACAAAAAGATTAAAACCTATCATAGATATTTAAAATATAATACCAGACCACCGATTTGGATTTAGGAACAAGCACTTTACTACAATACATTTAATAACGAATGAAATAGAGATAACACTCTTTCTAGATGTAGCTCAGATTTTCGATAAAGTATGGTTTTGGAAGGCATTGAATATAAAATAAACTTTTACCTACTTGACAGCTAGGATCTTCATAGTAAAACAAATATTCCACACTTAAAGAAGTTAAAGTACCTCAAGGAAGAGACTCCTAAGGACGATGAATGAATAGGAAATTCTAAGCTGGATAGAATCGCTATTGGTGGATCGATTCTATATTTGTTTTTTAAGAAATGGTACCCGAATTGCAGTAAATATTATGTGACAAACATTCTATTAGGTATATCCAATCTGTCAGCAATGTGCATGCCGTTATTACACAATGTTTAAAAACGTGAAAGAGCGTAAATATTTCTTGATAAAAGAAAGACCAACTGAGTTTCAAAACGGCAATCTGGACTGTAACGGTTCTCCGTCAAGAAATGCCGAATCATTTTTAAGAAACGGAAAAATATACAATTAGTAAAATACACATAGAGGCTTAGTCCAGTATAACAATGCATTTTTGAACATGAGGTAAATTGTAACAAGCCAAATTAGACCATTATTCACAACATTTGTAGGAATATTGTGATGTTCCTAAGACAGCACAGTATTGGTACCTGAATTTTGCTGGACCCAATGTCAAAATTATTATCTAAATTAATTATTAAGTTTATAATGTTGAGATTATTATAATATTAAAATATATTTTAACAAAATCATAATTTTAACAAAATATTTGTGAGGATATAGCAATATTTCAATGAAAAAACATACCTTTCGATGAGTTAGCTGCCACCCTACTTTGAGTCGGTAACGGATTTTTGTCGTAGTTTGGATCTTCCACTTCCTGACATCGATAAGATAAATTACGCAGAATACACACACAATTTTCTACAATTTTATTGCCTATATTTGACTTATCTATGGCACAGCGTACAACGAAAAGTAATGAATCGACTAAGCCTTCACATTCCCTTAAGTTTTTCCTGGCATATTCTCCAGCGGAACTAACATTTCTTAGAACACCTGATGCGTTCCTAAACACCGTAGACCAACACGTTTCTCCGTGGTTTCCTTGAGGATCCCAACCAGAGTGTGGAATTATTATGTAGGTTACAGTTGTTGCTACACCGTCGTCTATTATATTTCTTTTTAAATCTTCACAAGAAGACATGTTCCATATAACACCAGTTACAAGCTCTTTTATTTCAGCCTCATTTGACCTCCTCAATAACGTTATCAAAGCTGGTATACCTCCGGCGTTTTTGATCGCTCGTTTGTTCTCATCGTTTTGTCTACCATAAGAAAGATTTCTCAAAGCCCCACAAGCGTTCCTATATACCTCTATACTGTCATGGCTTAATAATTTAACTAAAGGAGGTATGCCGCCGAGAGCTCTCGTTTTCTGTTTGTTAGGGTCATCCATGTAACACAGATGTTGCAAATAAGCTGCCGCATTGGCTTTGATCACATTGTTGGGATTGTTAAGAAATCCGATAACTTCCGTAAGGTTAGGGTCTCGCCAGCGCATTCCCCTCTGATCATCATCACCACCGATGCTTCCTGGAGAAGCAATATTATGTGCTCTGTCATGAGGTAGTACGACATTGTGACCATGTAACGATATCTTACTAATATGTTTCTGAAGATCTTCATTTTCAAACATCCTCATGGTTGCTCCTACTGGAACTGGTCCATTGATACTATCTACATAAGGGCGTGACAAACTGGGAGCTGTACCGTAAGGTGAAGGTGACACATAACCATAAACTACAGCTGAATCATCCTGATAAGGATCTATTCCTATTGGTCCCCCAGGAGATGGAGTGACCCTATAATGTTCAGGAAGCTCATCGTAGCCTGAACCTAAATAAGTTGGATTGGGTTGAGATGTTAGGGGTAGCGGTGATGGGTCACCACTATGTTCACTCGGACTAGGAGGGGTAGAAGGTCTTTCAGCACCAGCGGAATAACCCATATAGGCACCGTACGGATTGGGGTAATGATCATAGTCTTGATAATGAGAATGTGGATGGTACTGAGAATACATGTGGTGTGGTTGTTCAATGTAGTCGACGTATTGAGAAGGGTATGAATATGATCCCAATGGAACAGGAATATATTCTGCTGACTGATCTCCTAACTGAGACACTTCTCGCACGACTTTAGTTACCGTCGTCACTTGTTGAGTAGTCTGTTGTTTTTGAGTTCGTACTAATGGCTCATCACTATGAACAGACATGTGACTCGAATTTGGAGAATGTTCCGAATGCCCATTACTGTGGGGGTGGTATACACCGTCACTCAAAGTACTGGACCCATCAGGACCTCTGTAGAAAAAAATCTACAGTTATTTCAAGTCAACAAATAAAATAGTACATAGTAAAACATTCATGCAATCGCAAACTTACTTATAGTGCTGCATATCTGGACCCTGTTCTTGTAATATTCTCCTAAAAAAACACAAAATGAATATGATGAAGAGAGAGTAAGTTTGAATTATGCGTATTGCTTCAAATAAATATTTTTATTTATGTTAGGTTATATTAAGCCATTGTTACATTTGTATTACCAGTATAGTAGATTATAAAATTATTGTAGTAAATATATTGTCTACTGCAAATTTGTATCTTTATTTTATTTCTTTAAAACTACAACTTGAGTGATGACGATATTTTAAATTGTATTTAGTATATATTATTTATTATTATTGTTATTAATTATTATTAGGTATACGTTACTTATATGACTTTTTGTATTTTCAAACTAATCGCTTCATCCGTTTTTTTAATCAAAATTTTGTGGTTAATTTTTATTATTGTTCAAAAATTATTTAATATTGTTTATAATCTCTATATCTCTCTTCTATCTAGACAATACAAAAATCAGATCATATAACAAATCATTTGAATGGACTTTTTGATTTTTACTGAGTACAAGAATTTGATTTTCTTTGAATGCAAGAATATTCATTATCTAACTGTAATAAGTGGGATAAGAGAGAGTTCTTATTTATTTAGTGTTTGTAGTAAAAGCTAAAGCGATACATACACGTTAAACTCTTGCAAGAAAAGAATTTGAAAACATAAAGCGCCCGTACCTCTATTCTTTAAAAGCCATCACCTATGCGAAATATGTAGTACTAGACTATGTAATTGTATTGATTTACACATACTATTAATGAAGTACTCCAAGAGTACAAAGATTAAATACAGTTGTTTCCAGTAGTACTTAGGTATTAATTTCTTGTTATGCAGATTTCAATAAAAGTGATAATAAAATTGCAATGCAGGTAAGGTGATGATGAAATGAACTCGAGCCTACCTTTGGGTAAATTCAGTGTGAGTGATGCTATGTTCCTGCCTTTGTTCCACCCTCCTATTGACTAAGCTGCCATGATAAAAGCATAAAAGTGTTTAGGCAAGCTATTAATGCTTTGAAATTCATGCACATATTAAGAAAAACCAAACTCACAAACCTTTCAATTAGTATAATTAAAAAAATAATAAATAATTGATATTTAATTGTAATTTAACATGAGGCCTCGATTTTTTCTTAATATCATTAAGTTTTCGTAAATATATAATGGTATTATTAAGACTGTATTTTCCAATGCTTTTTCCAACTTGGTCCATGCTTCTTTTGCCGTATTGGCAGTTTTTATTCGGAAATATGGAGATATATTTAATACAATTGCAGATAATGTCTGTTGATGAATATCACTATTGACAGTATCTTTATTTATGGCTTGCCCCGTTTTTCCTTGAATCAGCAACATTTTGACTGAATATTTCCAGATACTGTAATTTTAGATACCTTCTAGTTCTTCGATTTTGTATACCAATGACTTTTTACTGACTTTTCTTCAGTTAACGGTTTTAACTTTTCTTTTTCCTAACCTTTTTAGATACAGACAGGCATTTTTAAAAGTACACTTTTTTTACTAATTTTATCAATATTAAGAAAACATCGAGGGAAATATTTTTTTATTAAATTTAGATTTACGGGTTATTATACTTTTAAGGTCCTCTTAAAAGTTAATGAGGAAAATGCTGTTAAATCCATGGCGTTTAACATTTAAAGCAAAGGCATCATAAACAAAAATATTTTTAATTTTTCAGTATATTTCACATTTTTTCCAAAATGTAACGTACCATCAAAGATGAGCTGTATTTCCTATAAACATTTTCAAAAACGACAGCTTTCATTTCTTCTTGTGTTGTTCGAAAAAAGAAGACCCTGGCGTAAACATAAAAAAAAAAGGAAAATATCATTGTGTGTCTGTACTCCAAATTGGGTCCATTTATGAGTCACCCGTTCCGTTCTTTTCCGGGCTTTCTAAGAAATATGGACGGTTGAAATTGAAGAATTGTTTTAAAGAAAAATAATTCATCAGACATCATTTATTTATCAGGTAGATAACCTTTAGGAAGAATCCATTTGGAATTCCAAAAGCTTTGAAACCGACTTCAAATATTTGAATTTCTTTTTTTTTTTTCAACAAACGGCTGCTGCTCAAAGAAGGCTTAAAAGTATAATGACCCTTCTACATTTAAAAAAATATATTTTTAAAATTAATTAATTATTAAAACATGGTTAAAGGAAACAGAATGGTTACTTACACACATGAGTCCAACAGTTGACTAGCAGACATGTTTGAAGCTGTGTTATTATATTTAACCCTGTGACACAACATGCAAACATAAATTAGTCATAAGCCAATCCCATAGCTCCGAACAAAATTACAGTTATTCATACCATCACTCTTTATTGGTCATCTAACAAAGTGACCAAGACCAAGCAAGACCTTTAATAAATAATAGTTAATAGTTAAACCTACTTTTTATTATAAAACTGCGTGAAAAAAGATGTAATAAAATACATTGATGCTTGTTAAAGTTATAATAAAAATAATATTATATATAATACATATTCAGAAATTGAAATGAGGACCATACAAGCCAAATCTATTAGGGACAAGCATAAGTGGGACTGAGAAGGAAGTCTCAAGTATCGTGCACAAGTCCACAAAAGTTGTTTCTAAAGTAGCACATGATTCATTATTAAAATTAAAATCGATAGACATGTTTATTGTTATTGTGTATAGTATAAATTATTACCTCTACTACCTCTACTGGGGAATAACTATTAACGATCATATTATTTTTAAGATTAACTGTAATTTCATTTTTACCTCTGTACAAGGCGGAAATATGAAGTGTAAACTATTATGAACAAGTAGGTTGTTATGAATTTAAGAATTAAAAGCAAGCTTACAGGAATACGTACTTTATGGATGGAAATTAGAGTTGCCGCCTTATCGAAGGCAGAATACGTCGCAAAATTTCTGATGATCACCGTCCATCAGTACTGCTTCTGAAAAAAAAAAAAAATATATATTATACAGAACGAGAATTACTTTTACTTTAGAAGTGACGTACAAGAAAGTAGAACCTAAATACTGTAAGAGGCCTGTCTCAGTGAAGTGAAGAACTGAGCAATATCAGAAAGTTACTAGTAGCCTATCATGTTGATGATGGTGGGTATTTTCTTCACCTGTAAGTCAAGTGGCGCCATAAATCATCTGTATGTTAACCCAGAACGCCATGGCAAAACATAATATTAATTATAGAAAAACTTATTAATAATTGATTATATTTAATACCAATTGACTCATTTGATAGTGTTAAAGGTACTTCAGTCATAGACAGAATGCACAAGACCAAATAGAAGTGGTGGAGGTACACTAATAATTTCAGATCATTTTATGCTTTTAACAAATATGCTATTAAATAGTGATGGGCAATCTGTTTTTGAAATTGAAAGCAGAGGTAAGGACTTAAATTTTGATTTAATTAATATCAAACTTTCAACATTAGCGTGGAACTATCATATTTATGACATTAATGCAAAATATGATAATTTTGTAACAAATATTTTAAACGTATTAGATTCTGTAGCGCCATAAAAACAAATAAAAATATTTCCTAAACACAAAAAATGGTGGAATGAAAATGTAAAAGCTGCCACAAGGTACAGAGACCTTACATATAAAAATTATTCACAAGAAAAAATAGAAAATAATTGAAATGAATACAAAATGCATAGAAATAGGGCCGTTAACGTAACTAGAAGAGAAAAAAGTAAACACATAGAGAAAAATATTTACGAAAGTAGGGGAAATTTCAAAGGAAATGTGGAAATATCTTGAACGTCTGATTCCAAAAAAAAATAAGTCTAATAACTTAATTGAACTTGAACTAGAAAATAATGTTATTATCAAAAATATTTTTGACATGCCAAATGCTCTTAATAAATTTTACATAGACAGTATCCAATCGATTGCTAGTATGATTGATCATACAATACCAGATTATCAAATTTTAGACAGACACAATGGACATTTTCTTGGAAAATTTCAGCTATATACGGTGGATTCTTTAAGAGACATTCTTTTTGCAATGAAAAATAAAAGTAGCACATAACATTAATATTTTAAAAAACTGTTTTCCCAACCTCTCAGAACCACTTTTAAATTTGATAAATTCGTCATTAGAAATTTCAAAAATACCTAATGCTCTAAAAATTGCTATGGTAGTGCCTGTTCCAAAGACAAAAAACGCAAATAAAGCTACAGATTTAAGGTCTATTAGTATGTTAAGTTGTATCGAAAAAATCATTGAGAAGGTCGTTCATGAACAAATTGTTAATTTTTTAGAACAAAATAAACTTATTACTAGAATACAATCGGGCGTCAGAAGCAAACATAACTGTGAATCAGCTATCCAGTGTATTTTATATGATTGGAAATATAAATTTGATAAAAACTTTTTAACATTGGCAGTTTTTATAGATCTTCAAAGGTCATTCGAGACTGTTGGTCAAAACTATTTGATAAAAAAATTGAAAAGTATGGGTATGTATAGTAGAGCAAGCATTGGAGTGGTGTGTGGATTATCTAAGTAAGAGGAAACAAAAGTTAAAAGTAAATAACATTTTGTCAGAGGAAATTAACTATATCAGAGGTGTTCTGCAGGGAAGTATATTGGGTCCCCTGTTGTTTTTAGTGTATATCAATGACATTGTTGATTTCAAGGGTCAATGTGACATTCACCTGTTTGCTGATGATGCCCTAATATATTTTTCTTGTAAGGATTCAGATAACTTGGTAAGAGTTGTTAATGAAACACTGCAACATGTTTATACATGGTGTTGCAATAATTTGTTGAAAATTAACACAAATAAAACAAAATGTATGCTGATAAGTAGGAACTATAACTATACAGTTTGTTGATAAACAATATAACATAACAATTTGAGGAAATTCTATACAGTTAGTAGAAAAATTCAAATATCATTTCATAAAAGATATTTTACTTATAACGCCGTTTCAACATATAACAATTTACCTTTACCTAGGGATCTTAGGACCAAAGATATATAGAGTTATATAACTTTGCCAGCCTATGTGGGGCTCTGCATCTACCGATTCTTCTTTCTCTAGCTACTTCTGGGAACCTTATGGATCCAAACCCACACAAATCCAAGAAGGCTGCAAGCAGAGGAGGCTGGACATCAAATTATAATAATCAATAATAATAATAAAAATAATAATCATCTTTATTTTCATATGAATATTACATAGAGAACAAGTCAAAGTACAAGTATAGGTATATATAAAAAATAAGTGACAGATATAATGATAATAAAATAAAACACAAATGCAAATAATAATTAAGATTAGTGACAGTTATGATGATAATAGTTATAAAATAAAACACCAATGCAAATTATAATTATGATTAGTGACAATTAGTATGATAATAGTTATAAAATAAAACACCAATGCAAATTACAATTAAGATTAGCGACAATTATGATGATAATAGTTATAAAATAAAACACCAATGCAAATTACAATTAAGATTAGTGACAGTTGTGATGATAATAGTAATAAAATAAAATAAAACACAAATGTAAATGATAACTAAGATTAGGCTTAGTGAAATGATACAAACTCTTCAAGGATATATGGTTTAACATTGTTTATGTATTTTTTAGTTTCTTTTTGAAATTGTTCACGTTGACAGCATTTTTTTACATCAGGAAGCCGGACAGCAAAGGTCAACTCCAGATGAGGAGGCTGGACAGCAACGTCCATCTCCAAAAAATGAGGATGGACTAGTTCACCTCCAACCAACAGATACAAAGAGGCAAGAGGATCTCTGGTTCTGAAGCAAAGATGAGAAAGAAACCTAAACTGCAGGAAAGCAGAGCTCTATGCTGTCTAGAATTTTTGATGTATTTTGCTTGAATATTCCCTTCAATGTGTGATTGATTTCTGTTTTTAGTGCTTGTTTCTTTTTTAGACTGATATTTAATATTAATCATTCCTTGATTTAATTTCCTTACTTTCTGTACTAATTTCAATTCCACAGGATCAATTTTGGAGCTTACTGCTTTAAGAGTTTTATCAGAGGACTGACTTTGTTTGGTGATTTTTTTTGAAGCTTTATTATTAATTCTTGATCATTAATTATCTTAGTTTTGTCATTTTATAGTATCCTGCAATTGTTTTGCAATTTTTGCAATGACATTTCAAAATGCATTTCTCTAAGGGCATACCTACACCTTAGTTCAGATGGAGATAATTCACTGCATTTTATACAAATAAGGTTTTTATATATATTGCATGCAAATCATGGATTCATATTTTCTTTGGTAGGTTGCTGTATCCTATTACACTTATGACATTTAATTTTGTCACTACCATTCTAATAATAATAATATGCATGATTATTAGAGAGAATACATGATTCCATGGACAAAGTTTAATACTAGTGTTATAATAACATTCACATTGCTAAAAAATATAAACAAACCTCGAAATAAACCTTTAGAAAAAAATACATATACGTACTTAATTTTAAAATTTGTCATTATAAAACTACAACAGATTGTAATATGGTTTTTCAATTAATATATTTTTATAGTATTCCTATATAAAGATAAATATATAATTGATTTTAAGGCATCTAGCAAATGATAAAGGTTTTAGGTCTTTTGTAGATTATTGAATTCTTAATTAGAGATGAGTGTGGAATGAGAATAAGTTATTATTTTGTCTATTGTAACGTCAATATTTTATTATTTTATAGCTGATAAATAGAAATTTACAATGATCTCAATAATCAGCTTTGGCTAAGAATCTTACAGCTTTTTTGTAAAATAAATACAGATTGTACAGTTTCCCCGGAATACAATTCCATACCTTAAAGGAGTGTCTATTAGTGAAAAGTAGACCGTTCTTGTTGATAAACTTCCATCAAAGGACATTTCAGTCTCAAAAAAAAAAAATTGATTTTGAGGTTAGAAAAAAATTGATATTTTGACAAAATCCGCACTTTTTTGTAAAGAATTTAGTCTCTGCGACGTTCAAAATCTTTAAATTTTTTAAAATATTTAATTTTTTGTGACATAAAGTGTTATGGGCCCATAATAGGTGCAGAAAATAAGAAAGTGTCATACCTAATCATAATATTCCTCCTTTAAAATAGTACATTTTACCATCTTGCGATAATTATCCGCTTTTTGTTATTTATTACTTATTTGGAATGCTTAAATTTTATAATAGTATTATTGGTAATCAGTAAAGATATCGAGTGCATTTTATAGAGATAAATTGGTTGGTTCTTTCTTAAGAAATTGATTTATTTACGAAAAATAGGAGTCTGTTTCTGTTGTGTAGTGGGGCGGGGCTTAAAACTGTTTACATTCTTGTCGTGGAAGAAGTGATTGCACTCAGGTCAAAGATTTGTCTAAACAGACACTAGTAAAATGCGGGTTCCTTTAAAACCCAAAACAGAAAAACACGCACGATGAATCAAGAAAAAAACAAATATTCTTAACAAACCTATCATGTTTTTAATTTGGGCCTTGCAAGGTCGAGGCACTGCACAGGTACAATGGAGACTACGTCAGCAGCTAGCCGCCACAGAATCACTATATTTTTGAAACTCTATTTGAACAATGTCACATTCAAAAATGAAATCACTTTTAAACTGTTTTCATGATAACTGGGTGACAGTAAATTATTTTATTTTCACCGCAAATTGGCTACGACACAGGCTTACAACCTTACTCTTTGCTTTCGCCAGACATCACTCCCACTCAAAGTGTATGACGGATAAAGTAAGTGGCCCGATCGACCAACAGATTCTGTTTTAAGTGATTTTTGTCGACATTTTGAACAATTTTATGCGCACTGCATTACAAATTAGATTCTCGAACTCAAATATTATATCTAATCGCTAATTCTACAATTTTAATAGATTTTCATTCAAAATTTCTCTTTACAAATTTGGTATTTCAAATCTGGCGCCATTTGATTATCTAAAGAGTTCGATCCACTATTAACAACTAAAGTGTATATTAGATATATCATAAATAGACCATAAATTTAACTTGTATGGTCTAATTCTAAACAAATCTCATAGATTACCATTTTAATTTCATTAAAAATAAAGTTCTCTTATGTTAATACACCGCTAAATACTGGAACATACCCTTGAAAATCCATAATTTTTATAGTTTGGTAGATTTACAACAGATAATAGATGGAAGCACCAGTATTAAATCAATGTGTCAAGTGCCAATCCGTTGTCTGTCAATCTAATGTCTATTAGTTGAATTCGACCAATGGCGAATGACTAAACAGTGTCGTCTCTCAAGGTGCGTGGTGTATACGTTTTATTTGGATTTTTTTGTTGTTTATTATTATTATTATTATGGACATTTATAATTTTCGTGTAATCTGTCGTGAAATATTCTGAAACATGACTGTTAAGTGTATTGCTTGCAGTAGAAAATACCTTAAAGGCAATTTAGTAACTTTTTACAGGTAGGTAACTAAATAGTTCTTAAGATCATTCGATTTTTCAGTGTATACCTTAGATTAATAAGAATTATACAAACGATTATACTATGCAACGTTTTTAACCCTTGATTGTCAGCGTTATTCAATATTCTTTTGTTGCCAGTAATACGTCAATTTTACCTGTTCATTTTAAAGGGTAATTATTATTAAGCCATTTATTAAAAAATAATGTATACCTAACAGTTACAAAACACTTAGGTACAAAACTTACTACATATATTTTACCATTAATAAATGTTTATTTGAAACACCTTTTATTCTGACGTACACCACAAAGCTGTGTTTCATTCAAATCACACTATATTTTTGTCATTTTGTCTTTTTTTGATATAAGGACAGGAATTCCTCCTTGGATAGTGTTGAACGTAGATTATTGTGAATTACATCCCGATATTTAAGGATTGTTTTGAGTTGACGTCTTCTAGTTTCCAGATATTAGAATTAAGACATTCAAAGAAACTATAAAAACGCCTCTTAGAGCTACCATATGTCACTGAACATATGCGGTGAGTATATCAACACACTTCTAACACTATTATGTCAACAGACAGGAAAGCATAGCTAGAATTTTTATGAGAAATAAGCAGAGAGTAGGGAGATCTTGGAGGACTTTTGAAAATATACATGTCAAATGTACGTACACTGGCAATCTTGGGTTAAATCTTAATTTCTTATTATGTTTAGATTTCCTGGAAATTCTGAATTGAAGAACAGTTGGATACAGGCCCTAGGAATATACAGTAGATTTTTAAAAAGTTAGAATTTTTGTTTCTCCCTATGGTAGAATATGTTTGAAAAAGGAAGCTAAACATATTTCTTTTGACAGAAAGGAGAATGATAATTTATTAGATTCTCAGAAAAAAAGGTAGGTAATTATTTATATTAGAATATTAAGAATGTTACTTATTTGAAATTGGACATTTTTAATAAAAATGATTTTCAGGTTCTGCAAGGTAAATATTCTTGAGAATATTTTGTTGGGTAGGAATGAAAGTCCAAAACAAAAACCATTCAATATCCTCTTTCTCAACAGAGTCCTATTTTAACATCTTCTATGGAATCAGCCAATTTTACAAACAGATTGCCCAAATAGGTAAAATGCAAATTTAAGTATTATTTCTCTTTTCAGTATCCTATATCGTTTTTTAATTTATCACTATTTGAAAAAGTGCAAGTTTAGAAAAGATATAAAACAGTGACAGATATTCCGATTTTGTTACTTTGAGACGTGGAAATTACATTTTAGAATTTTGAAATTGGTTCAAAAGCTAGACACTTTAACCAAGGGTCAACAATCTGATACTGCTCCTGAAATAGATTAACTTAAAATGCGATCGAATGTAGGTAATAATAGTAAAACACTTACATACAGTCAGTACCACTTATTTAGGATACACCTACTTCATAAAAAATAATGTGTAAGCTATAATTCCTCTGGTTTTAATATAAATAAGTAATCCAATTTTTATACATAAATATTGGCAGCTAATTACCAGTAAAGATTCTAATTTATATTGGCAGGATTGATGGGAAAATATTTAATACAAAACATATCTGAAATTATTCATTACTATCTGCAGCATTTTCAGGGGGATTAGGTCTACTTCCTGTCAAATCTTTTCTTTCAAGGCTTGAATTGTTTGTGGTGGGTTATTTTGAAATAATTTACTCTTCAAGTAACCCCACAAAAAACACGTGAGGTCCGGTGAACAGGGAGACCAACCTCATTTCAAAAAGAAATACATGATTTGATGATAACCCCTTTTAATAAAACGCCTTCACAGCGTACCCATGTTACTGAGGATCCACTGCTCTATTTTTTCTAAATACTTATACACAGGGAACATGGCCGATAGCGTCCTTATCACCTTCTAACGATACGGCGTGGTTTCCGGGTTATTTAAAATCGCTCGTTATTCTGCTCCAACCTGTATAAAGAATATACTGGGTCTGTTCTGTAACGATTCCTTTATATTTTAACAGAAGTTAAAATATTGATGGTCTTTTTTGTGTAGTTTTAATAAAAATCCTATTACGTCGCCACCGGTCGGTCTCAAAAGTTTGTTGCCAGAGAGGTGCAGAAATCTTCATAAAAGCGACTTCCGATGAGAGGGGTACGGGGTAATAGGGGTACCCTTCTTAACATATACATTGCTTCTCTTATTATATTCCTTTACTCAATGGTACCGCCTATCATGCATTTTATAGATACATTTTTAATATATTTAAATAAAGACTTAAAAAGATTATTTTTTTTTATTTTAAACCATCCAATATAAGATATGCCTATAAATTTTATAATAATGTTGAAAATACCCAATTTAAAAAATATTTTAATAAATAATTCGCAATAAAATACCTAATATGATAGGCCTATGTGATCTCCCTCTCACCTCAAAAGATAATAGTTACTTATCTACTTTGCTGGTTAAAAACACACTAAAAAACTGCTTCAACCTGACTCTCACCCTTCCTGCTGTCGTCTGCTGTTTACAGTTATTTTACTATTTTCTTTGGGTCATGTTTTGGTTCAAAATTCTATTACAAAAAAATACATTGATATGACAACACTGTAGTGTGACTCTGAGAAGGGCATTTGCCCCGCCCAAGTATCACCATAAAAACATGTTGGGTTTATTTTAGTTTTAAAATGGTTTTAATGTGGTAAATAAGAAGATACTGGTTTTAAAGTTACCTTGTTTATATACTGCAGGCATCCAAGACACTTAGCATATAAGTAACTTCAATTTTTAGCTATAACTACTTAATTTTTAAGCAACACCTTCAAAAAACATATTTTAAATTTAAAATGACCAATAAATGTATATAAATGATTATATGTGCTGGCGGTCAATTGTAGGCTATAAATTGCTTAGGCGATCAATTGCTATGGCGGTAAACTGCTAGTGATCAATTGCTGGCGGTCAATTATTGCGGGCGATCAATTTTTCGGATCCCGTCCAAAAAGTTTGGATTAAAATTGTTTTCTTAGCCGTTAATTCTACGCCAATGGGTTATCGTAATTTATCGAAATAAAATGTTGACTAATAATGGCTATTAACTAACATGTACATATTTTTATGTTAGAATCTTTATCGTATAGGAAGACATTTGGAAAATTATGTATTCATGAAAACTGGGGCGTTTATAGTAAAATTATATTTAGCTTTACTTAATAATTAGTTAAGATCTACAAGACTTAAATCTTGAGCCCTTTCGTTTTTAATGCTCAAAAGGGTCAGCCTACTAAGTTTTGATTGCGACATTGTATAATTTATAATTTCGAAATCTGTCGAAACTGCCAAAGGACATTCTGGTCGAATTAAACACAAGATTTTTCTACGATCACAGCAAAATAAAATAAATAATTTAATTTTATTAGAAATGAGTTACCTTTCTTCGTTATAATATTGTAAGTTTATTTGACATATGCCTACTTCTATGTCGGTAATTATTTATGATTTAATCATTAAATTATTTACTGAAAATACTGTTGGATAATTTAAAATATTAGGAAGTCAATTAAAATATTTTAGATTAGCTTAACATTTTGTTTTAAAATACCGATTAGCTTTCTTTTATTTAATTAAAATGAAAACATACAAGCGTGTGCTAAAGTTACTTTGGCGCACGTGTGCGCCAATAATGTCAAATTATGACAATTCGCGGAAAACGTTAACTTTCTAGTTAGATTTGAATGTGGAAAAGCCTACTTTGGATAGTGATCGTAGAAAAAATAATAAAAAAAGCAGTATACAATTGTTTAAAAGTAACGGCGGCTGCGTGATGATCAAAAATCAAAAGTTTGGCTACATTTTTATAGGGGCACATTCAAGAATTTTAGCTTTAAAAGTAGATCTGAAGTTTAATATATAATTCGACTGGAAGATCAGATTGCACCTAAACCTTGATGGCGCCGGGTAGCAGTTGCTGCCCCAGATGCCTCGGTAGCTACGCCACTGATTAGAACTTTTCAATAAAATATTAAATAATAGTCCAGGGCATATCGAGATGCGGTTTTCTGCATTGTATTCAGGAAGGTCCCAGGAAAAAGTCTATATTGTCTGGTTTAGCAATTTTTGAAAAATGCCTTCTCGGCCGGAAAATGCATTCTCCAATTGCATCATTACTTGCACCAATATAGGAACGACTGGAAACTCGGAAAAATCGTTCGGAAATCGTTACTTGGGGATTTTGGGCTGCCGAACTCGATTCTGGCATTAGAATTACCCGGGGGTGCACAAGGGTGGCTCTGTGGGGGTGCCCGGGGGGTGAATTGGGGAAGAAATGGCAGCGTGCATGAAAATCGCACCAAACTCGTTACTCGGAAGTTTTCGGGAATGCCGAATTCAATTCTGGCATTGGAATTACCCGGAGGCGCTCGGAGGTGGCTCTGTGGGGTTGTCTGGGGATGATTTGGGGGGGGGGGGATAGCACCGTCTATGAAAATCACTCCAAAAACGTTACTCGGGGGTTTTTGGGGATGCCGAATTTAATTCTGGCATTAGACTTCCCCGGGGGTGGTTCTGTGGGAGATGGTAAGGAGAAAGTGAAAAATCACAAATTATGAAAATAAAACTTTATTCAAATAACAAATAGGAGTTTTTATTAATGTTGAATTATTCATTATAAACTTAAATTTTTAACTTAAATACTAAACATCTTGTTCAAACTCTTCTTCTTCCCCTTCTTCATCTTCATTCCCTTCTTCGTCTTCTTCCTCGTCACTATTCTCAGCCCCGTTGGAAGTGCCTTTTTGGTTTGAGCAATTGCCATCGCAATGCTTGCATGCAAGTGAGCACTCCAACCCACTTCGGCGGCACCCGCACCTCGTGCCACAGTCGGTTTCACAAGAACAAGAAATTTTGCTTAAAATTTCCTAGGGACCGGCTTCCTGGGTCATGCTACACTCTACTGAGACATTATATAGCCAGTTTCAATTCCTCCTGGAAAAAATTAATGGGCTGGGACTTATTTTTGCTATTCCCTAGAAACTTGTCCTGAGTTACACTTGCGTCCAGGAATCTGGAGCCATGCGTGCGGTGGCGGAATTTTTATGCATACATCCCCGTGGTAACGATACTCTACACTCTTTATATAGCTTTGGCGCCTTTTTTAAATCCAGTTTAGAGGCACAAAAGACTTCCAAAGCAATTGTTTTTATAATATGTTTAATATTTATTTATTTAATATTCAATTAAAATTTTTATTATTCATACCCCCGGGTAATTCTAATGCCAGAATTGAATTCGGCATCCCCGAAAACCTCCGAGTAACAATTTTGGAGCGATTTTCATGGACGCTGCCATTTTCCCCCCAACCACCCCCATACAACCCCACAGAGCCACCCCCGAGCGCCCCCGGTGAAATTTAATGCTAGAATTGAATTCGGCATCCCCGAAAACCTCCGAGTATCGAGTTTGGAGCGATTTTGATGCACGTTGCCATTTCTCCTCCAATTCACCTCTCGCGCACCCCCACAGAACCACCCCGTGCACTCCCGGGTAATTCTAATGCCAGAATCGAGTTCGGCAGCCCCGAAAACCCCCTAGTAACGATTTCCGAGCGATTTTTCCGAGTTTCCAGTCGTTCCTATAATGGTGCAAGTAATGATGCAATTGGAAAATGCATTTTCCGGCCCAGAAGGCATTTTTCAAAAAATGGCTCAACCAGACGATATCGTCTTTTTTCCTGGGACCTTCCTGAATACAATGCAGAAAACCGCATCTCGATATCTGCGGTTCCTAAAAATTTCCGCTATTTTTCATAACTTCCCTGGACTATAAATGAATATCAATTTTTATTTTATATTCTCAATATAGTTGATAAATATGATTTTCAGTGAAGAAAATATTTATTATTGCAATATTCAGTAATTTGAATAATAATTTTCATGATATTCAACTGATATTCTTAAACTAATAACCATTAAATATTTTTTCTTTTAGTTTTTAAAAATTTTAAGGTTTGGAGAAAGACATTTTATTAAAAGTTCTATGGGGGAGGGGGCGGCAAAAACCTACTCTACGCCATTGGGTGTCGACTTAAATAGACACACTGTATATAATTCGATTCCAATTTTTTTTTATTTTCAACCTATAACTTAACACACATTTAAATAATTTTGGATATCAACCTAACAAACCTCCCCGAAAAGATTTTGGCTGCAACCTTGGTAGGTCAAGAACCCGACATAATTAATGCAGCAAATTACCTACAGTAGTTATCATGTATATAATTATAAAAAATTAAATTTTAACGCTTAACACATTAAAAAATATTTTTTTGATATTTTGCAATATTGTGTTTTTATCTGTTGTGGCCTAGACAATCTTGAAATTACCATCTACCGGTGATTGTTAAATTCCCAAGAAAGGTGTGTCTAACAAGCCAATAAAAACTGGAGGCTCGTCTGTACGTCACTTGTACGTCACAGCTTGCAAAACATATCACCTGCTTAGCTACTTGCGCCGTTCTGTTAAAATAAATCAGTTATTTAGTGGAGAGCAAGTAGGAAGCAGCAGGCGTGCAGTACTGTACTGAGATACTTTGAATTTAAATTGGTGTGCGTTAAATTAAACTTTTTTCCTTAGGAATGACGGGAGAGAGCTGAGGGATTCAAGAAATTTAGTGACTAGTGTGCATCATATTTAAACATTAACAAAATAAATAATCATCATGCCTAGTGTCCTAAATTTAGTGATTTTGCTTTTAATAAACTTTACAAATATTATCGCATCTGAAGAAAATCTGCCACCACCATGTTTTAGGTAATATTGGACTTTTTTTACTTTCTGAGCGTTTGGCCAATAACTTTTCAAAACTACTTTTTTTACAGTGAAGTATATTGCTATGGGCGCCTTTTGGACACAGTTCAAATGAGTAATATTTACAAAGATTCCAAAACTTTCGTTGACATGAAAATGAAATATGGTCCCAATGAAACCCTCAGACTCTTTGATGAATTCATAGCTAACCATCAGTTGAAACCAACCCCAGAAGAAGTTATGAATTTTTTAAATACAAATTTCGATCCGGCTGGTATGGAGTTCGAAGACTGGGTTCCGAGTGATTGGGTGCCAACTCCCAAATTTGTAGATCTCATTAAAGATCCAAAATACCAAGATTGGGCTACGAAATTAAATGATATTTGGAAAATTCTTGGAAGGAAAATGAAAGCCGAGATTAAGGAAAACAAGGACTACTACAGTATTATTTGGATACCAAATCCTGTGATTGTTCCTGGTGGTCGATTTAGGGAATTTTATTATTGGGATTCCTATTGGATATTACAAGGCCTTTTACTTTCCGAAATGCACATTACTGTTAAGGGAATGTTAGAAAACTTTTTATATATTCTAAATCAATTTGGTCACATCCCTAATGGGGGTCGAATATATTACTTAGCTCGATCTCAGCCTCCTTTGCTTACTCCTATGGTTAAACTGTATTATGATTATACAAATGATCTTGAATTTGTTAAAGCCAGCATAGAAACTTTAGAAAAAGAATTCAACTTTTGGATGAACAATCATACTAAAATCGTTACGCTTAATGATGTCAATTATACATTAGCTTTATACGGTGACAGATCGTCAGGACCTAGACCTGAATCTTACACAGATGACGTTAAAAGTGCCAGCATATTTGAAGATAATGAAGAAAAACAAGCGTTCTACTCAGAATTAAAGGCTGGGGCTGAATCTGGATGGGATTTTTCCAGTAGATGGTTCGTTACTAACTCTACCAATAAAGGTATCCACCTACATTATTGTAAATTTTTTCTAACTTGTTTAATAGGGTGTTCGTTATTTACCAATTTGATTTTTGAGTTTGCAGCGCCTCTAACATTTTTAGTGTGACCCAAAAAAAAATATCGAACCCATATAAGCTCTTAATATTGATGATAAACCGTGCCACAAAGGCAATTCATTTCCCATTTAAATAACATGGGGTTTTTGTAATTTTTGCAATCAATTTTTTCGATCCTCAGCCAGCTCATACAAAGCTGCGGCAATCAATTATTTTTGTAGTAAATTTAATGCTCTACAAAAAATTCTTAGTAATTTTTTCGATAAATTCACTTGCTTAAAAGTTATTCAAGCTCAAAGTTGAACTAAAAATAACTTATTAATTTTCTTTGTATTTTGACTGAAAAACTATCATTATTTGTTTTACAATTTATTCTTTATTGCAAAAATATCTGATTCAGCTATTTTGTTGAGTCTGTCAAAATTATTGAAAAGAGGAAAGTAAAATTTATTAAGAAGAAAGTGTTAGGTTTGCTTTTTTATTTACATTCCACTGTGGGTCTGCCCTTTATTTTTTTTAACACGTTTATTCCATACTTTTCTTAGTTTCTCATTTGACATTTGGCACGCATGTACAAACTATATTTGTCCTCTGCGATTCTGTAATATATTGGCTGAATATTTAGTTGTTTCCTAGATGAATCTCTACAGAAAAAAACTATCGATGCCATAATTATACATATCAGCAAATAGGTTTAATGAATGAATCAATGAGATGTTCAAGCCAGATAATTGCTCTGGAGCCGATGACTAACATACATCCGAGGAAGACCTTTAATTTCTCCTTAAAGAATAATGGATTTCCAGAAATAAATTTGGTTGCAACTATTGCAGCTATGTTTTTTCGTCGTCCCCTAAATCCTGAAATCACTTCATCTAGTCTGCCTAAGAGGAATCATGTAAAATTATATTCCAAAAAAAATATATGTGGCTGATGAGCTTGCCAGAAAAGGATCTAGCAATTCTGGTTTCTATGAGTCAACAGTCATTATGGGGTATTGGAAGAATTTAATAATTCTAGACATAAGTATTGGCATATAACTTCTAACCGGTTATATACATTTGATTCATGTCTTGAAGCTGTAGATTATGGAGTGAACGATACTAGCATAGTATTTACAACCGGTCACTGTATTGGCCTCTTTTTAAAGCAAAAGGCTAATTGATGAATGGTTGCTCAGTGGTTTTTTTTATTAATTTATTTATCGTCAATCTTTCTATAACTACGTTTTAAACACCGACAATGGTGAGAAATTTAGCCAAACGCTCTGGTGTTTCAACGAGTTCAACATCCATGGACTCGAGACCGACGGTTTTACATATCTTCCAAATGATGGCACACTCCTCGCTATACCTCGTACTCATTGTAATATAACGCCTGTCGGCTGTGGTATGCAACTACGTCGGCAGTTAGGGTTTTTATAAGTACGCCCACTTTCTTTAGACTGCAGATATCGATATACAATAGTGGACCTGCTAAGCTGGGCCGCTGCCCTGCTCAGTAGTTAGAGCCTGGACTTTTAGATCCGGGAGTTCGGGTTTCGAATTCATCAAATCCGGGATGTTTTTCTAATACAATGAATTCTAATGCCTAGGTAGGATTCACCTCTATTAAGTTATAATTAATAGTACTGAAAGTGGCACAAAGCCTACATCAAATATTAGACTAATGGCGTTAGTTATCAATGACTTTAACATAAATGAAACGAAAAATGAGGCTTTTATTGAGACACTTTTTGTATACAGACCCCCCAGAGCAACACAACTGTTTGTCGCGAATCCGCGATGGAAAATTTGCAGTATATGTATATAGGGCATACAATTCTAAGCTGTAAAATTCGCATTTGTCTAACACGTGGGTTTTTGACCGTGTATACAGTATTTGGTAGAACGAATATTCCCGAAATGTTCGTGTTGGTCTGTTTAGGAAATCTGGTTTCATATAAATAATTTTGGTGTCTAGTGGAATGTGTGTTCGATTCCTAACAAATTTTAATTAAATAAAAATATAGTCAAGGGCGGGGCAGAATAACGAGCAATTTTAAAAAGTCTGTAAACAGAAGAAAATTAAGTTTTACAAATAAATTTATTATTTTTTTAAAATACGCTCCGCAGCATTGCCATGGAAATTTGATCCACTTCCTGTCGGATCTTTTTTTCTTTTATCTTGAACCGCTTTACTCTTCAAGTACCCCACAAGAAAAAATCGCACGTTGTTTGGTCTGGGAGGAGAGGTGATGTCCCCATTTCGAGAAAATATGATTTTTAAATAACCTGCCTTCATAGCGAACGCGCGCTGCTGAGGGATATATTGCTTCATTTTTACTTAATACGCGCAGGAAACATGGCCGATCGCGACCTTACTCCCTACCATCTACGATACGGCGCGGTTGCCGGGTTTTTTAAAATCGCTCGTTATCCTGCCATATCGAATTGAACATACAAAATACAAGTAACTTTTAATTCCCTATCTCCATATCGTAATTTTTTTTTGAAATATTGAAAATGATATCATTATTTGTCATGTAGAATATAATTTATTATCACTATAAACCAAAAATTGTCAATATCTCCTGACCACAAAAGTAATCAAATGGCAAATTTTTTAGTCATATCCTCGTATAGGTACCTAAATGTATTCAACATATTTTTCACAGGAAATTTAACTAGTATTAAAACGAGGTCCATAATTCCTGTGGATTTGAATGCTATGATTTACTGGAATGCTGATCTTTTATCTAAATTTTATGAACTACTTGGAAATGAGAAAAAATCCTCTGAATATAATAAAAAGGCAACTGAATGGCTGCAAGCTGTAGAAGCTGTATTGTGGCACGAAGATATTGGTGCTTGGTTAGATTATGACATTATTAATGAGGAGAAAAGAGATTATTTTTACCCGACCAACGTTTCACCATTATGGACAGGCTGTTTTAATAAAACTAATAAAGAAAAAACTATTAAAAACGTTCTCAAATATCTTCAGAATGAAAATATCATGTATCAAGGTGGTGTTCCCAGTAGCATAGAACAAACTGGTGAACAATGGGACTATCCAAATGCCTGGCCTCCTCTTCAACACATGATGATTGTTGGATTACATAATACTGGTGACGAATTTGCCATGAGATTAGCCTACGAAATTGCTGAACGATGGGTTAGGACTAATTATCAGGCCTTTAACGAAAGTGGACATATGTTTGAAAAGGTAAGAGAATAAAACACAATGGAAAATTTACTCTCATAATCTAAAATTCAAGATAAATTTATTCAAAATTTTGTATCCCAATTACATTTATTTAAAGTTTTTGAGGCATGAGGTAATTTTTTTGCAGTATGATGCAACGGTTCCTGGAGGTCACGGGGGAGGGGGTGAATATGATGTGCAACTAGGTTTCGGGTGGACAAATGGAGTTATCATGGATCTCTTGAACCGTTATGCTGACAAACTGTCTGCAGAAGATACTCAACCAATGGTTGAAAATATAGCATCTACTTTATATAGTACACCATCCTCCGGTATTAGTTCTATAACGACAGCTTTGATAGCTTTACTGGTGTCGTTGACAGCAGGATTTACAGGGTGAGGTATGTCAATTAAGTATTCTATTATAGAAAACTTCAACATTATTATGACCATTATTATATTAATCAACTAGGTATACTATCAATATAATCTCTAGAAACTATTCCAAATTTTCAAGTAATAAATACCTAATTTTGCAAATGTTTTATTAATTTAACGTTTTCTTACGAATTATCTTAAGAGGAAACCGGACCTATCGCGAAATGATAGGGTGGCCAGCGCGATCACCAAATTGATTTTTTTCTGTGGGGTTATGTAAAAAACAAAGTATATAATGTGCCTGCAACGACAAAGGAGGACACGAAAACTCGAATCAGAAATGTATTTCAAAGTATTGATGTTCAAATGCTGAGAAATGTGTCAGTCATTCGAAATTCGATTACAAAACTGTATTGATGTTATGGGAGGTCACTTTGAACAACTTTTATAATTATGTTTTAATTGTTTTGTTTGTTTTTTAGTTTTTTGTATTCACACATGTTATTTATGATGGTTTAAAAAAAAATCAAGGTTTCTCCACCCTAAGTTTGGTAATTATTAGTACTTCTTGAAAATTTCACAAAAATCGGACTAAAAATAAAGTCTTAAAATGCTTTTAAAATTTTTCAAGGTGTTCGGTTTGCTCTTAAATAGATTTTTTGTATAACTATTATTAAAAGTCACTTTTAGCGAAGGTTGCTCTACTCTCTATAGTGCCATTTTTAACAATAAATAGTTATTGCAGGGCAAAACTAGGAATTATTTTCACTTTTTAGTTGTTTATTTAGAATTGAGTTTATATTTTATGATCCAAAATTATAAATTTTCGATAATCACTTACATTTTTTATTGCACATTTACAATTTACTCAATTTCAAAGTCCTTTGAAAAATAAGTTGATACGTTGGTTTTCTGTTTGATACGCAGATATATCTAATTTGAATTACATTATTGTATGTTAGTAGTATTTGATGTAACTTTTTTCAAGTTGAAACGGTATGAAAATTTAAGTTTAGAAAATTCTCTCTTAACATAAGAAATGATTTTATTCCTTAGTTTTGCGAGGTAGTTCATTTGATCTTAACATTTATTTTTGTTTCAGGATTTTAATCATTTTATCTTAATGCAGAATATGGGTGAGAATTATGGTATAATAAAGTGAAACTGTCGTTATTTTATTTAAATTTAAATTCTTTCCAGTGTAAGTACTAGGTAAATTTAATAGTACGAGATAAATATTGCTACTCAAAATGAACACTTCGCTGTTTAAAAAAGAAAACTGAAAATTTGTCAAAGATGAGATGTTTTTGGTCAAAAAAAAACGTAGAAGTTTCTTGTTATGATAATAAACATTGATATTTAATTTTAGAACTCACAAAATTATCTCCACACCTTGTGTTTTTTTGCTGATACCTAGTTTTTTCTTATAACAAGCAAAAATATTTGCTGAATTTATTAGTAAAATTATACTGAGAAAAAAAATATAAATATAAATTTTTCTTAGTTGCTTAAAATGTGTAGATATATTAAAATAAAAATATAGAATGTTTAAAATAACTCAAAATGTAATCAGACTCGAGCTGTCTTAAAAATACCTTCGTCAAAATGTTCCATTTTGTATTTAGATGCCAGAATTAGCTTTCGTCGTGAAGACCAGGACCGCATCGGCCAATGATTGTATAGGTATAAGCTTATAATAAAAATAAAATAAATAGAACAAATTTTGAAAAATAATTAAATGACTAGAAACGTATGTGGCTTTGAGACATTCCATTTATATTGGTTACCAATTCACATGATGCCAGTATTGGATTGGCTTAGTGGAATGTCTTCACAATTGGCCTCGTGTAAATGGTACATTAAGGATTGCGCTAACCTCAAAAACGTTGGAATTTATTTTTAGTCTATCACATAATTATAAAAACCTTATTTCACAGGGTGTTGCTTTACAAAAGAAGAACTCAGAAGCAAGTCCAACCGGTGGAAACTAAAAAAAGACCTTCTACGGCTAGATATACAGAACTGAAAAATATATCGAAGTATTCCAGGACTGCGAGGTAAATATATCCGGATAGTAACAGACAAAATGATTAAAATAAATGTAGAAAACGGCAAGAATTTTTCTATAATAAAAAATTGGTTACAAAAAATAAGGTAAGATGGAATAAGTACACCGAAAGTTTCTGTTTGATAGATATGACATTATATTATTGTAAAAATAAATTTATAATAAATAATTCGTTGCTCTTTGTAAAGTGATATTCCATGAATAGTTACACGCTTTATCACAAGGGAACAAAAAAATTATAATCTACTGTGAATCAAAAATAGGGCAGTCTACGGGTTAAATAATAATCATACTCTCCCTATTCATCCCGTTACCAGTGAATTCAACCCCTGAAGTTGCTGAGCTTTGCCGTGGCGCTCCGGGGCGACTTAAAGATGATTGATGCTGCCTTTTGACTTACAGGTGTGGAAAACATCACCAACCATCATCGAAACGGTAATGCATGGCGATTTGTAATCTGGATGCCATGTCACCAGAAAGGAAATTACTGCTAATACGGCACACATCAAATCCTATAACGAACCATGCAAAGCAATTAAAAAATCACATGGTCTGCTGTAGGATTCGAAGCCGCTTGTCTTTCAACCACAAAATTGCCTATAAGTGAATATAAGCCTGTGAGACAACTGCGCTACCGAGCCGATAAAGTGACATTTCTTTCTAGACTAATCATGTCAAATTTTTTATAGCTAGTCGGTTTTTTACTAAAACAAAATATTTAAATTATATGGAAATAATATAATTTTAACCCTTATAATATTCAGAGTGAAAGAAAAGTCTGGAAATGGCTAATTTTCTCGAAGCGATGAAACATAATTAACAGAAGTTTTTAGTACGTAATGGAATATTATTTAAAAATTTCTGGTATTTGAAAAGATAACACTATTTAAATTCTAAATGTTGTAGTATAAGGTTTCAACTTATCCCATCTTACCTAAAGCAAAATTACAGAAGAGTTAAAATTTTTTAGAAAAAAATTCATGACAACTAATTAATTTTTATTGTAGACAATTTTCTGTTTTTTTCAGTTAGTCCAAGAGTATTATGGAATTAATATTTTCTAGTTACATTGAATTTTTATGATTAGGTGCGTAAAAAAATTCACAGTATTTTGCTATTTTCTTAAAATCAAATGTACAATTTTAAGAAACGTGTTTTAAATTAAAATTTAAAAAAATCATCTACGGATGCGCTTAAATGCCACAATTATTAATTTTGTTCATTTGATTAGAAATTTATATTATAATGTATTGTATAAAAAGCTATTCTGTGTTATAATATTTACCTATTTATTTTTAAAAGTCTCTTTATTGATTTGATATACCTACTTTGCTATTTAAGTCTTCCGCCAATTTTCCTAATATCACATTATCTTTATACATTAAGCATTCTCTCCTTATCTTCAATAATGTCATCTAAAATTGGTGTGTCTATGGACATATCCGCAATCCACAATAATAAACGTATTTGGCATTTTTTGCGCCTATATTGATAATTTTTAAAAGTTTTTGATACACAAACAAAAGTGGATGTATAAATTTAATAAAACTTTGTTTCAAAAAAAAAGAAATTATTGTTTCTTTAAAAATGATATTGTTAAAAAGTCTTCGACGTTCGTGGAAATAATTAATTTGTCTTATTTTGAAATATGGGTGATATTTTTGGAAAACACTGAGGCCTTTTACCAGTTATCGTATACTAAATAGCACTGCAATCGTATAATTTGCAAGTGCGTAAAATAATGTCTAATCAATTTTGATAATAAATTTAAAATTTCATGAGAATACATGCACTGATTTGAAAATGCTTTTATCTTAAATGTATGATGCGCAAAAAAAACATTTTTTTGTATGACAAAATTATTCTCTAATTCGAGATAGATTTTAGGATTTTTCTCATATATGTCTAATTTAGTATGTGTTTGTTTTTAAAAATAATAAAAGTCTCGAATATACTCTTCCAAGACAGGAAACTTTGTAAAATGATTTGGTTTTGTGATATTGTAGATGTATCTTACATTTATGTTTATTTTGATTATTTTTGTGAAATAATATACATTATGGAATAAATTTAAATAAATACAAAATGAAAGTCTTTCTTTTTATTAATATTTTATTTAGTTTATCACAGTTATCAACATCAGATCCACCACTCCGCAAAAATTGGTGGGTTGAAAAATATTATGGTAGAGGAGAGAAAGTGACACTTTTATGTGTGTTATTTGCACAAGGCTAATTTATATTTTTGTTATTTATTCTTGTCTTGTAGAAGATGGAAATAATTTGAAATACTTTGCTGCAGACACGTCAGCATTGAAGCCTTTGTAGAAAATACTATATTTAATTTGACATAAGACCGCATAGCTCAACAACTTTTTTTTCTCCTGGGCTCGTCTGACTATGTCTCCGAATAACACTGAAGCTTATTGGCTTATTGTGCTTTACCCCATGTTTTCATAGCACCCACTTTGTCACCTTTGTACATTGTAAAAGTTTGTACAGATCCTTGGGTGAGTGGGTTCTATACGTTGTTGGATCAACCTGGGGTTGTCCAAAAAGAGCCTGTCTTTTGTGATCTAGAGCTTTGCATTCGCACAGTATGTGTTTGGCCGTTTCTGGTTTTTTGTGACATAGTCGGCACATGAGTTCCCACATTGTACATGCCAATTTTGTTAAAGTGTCCCTTTACTGGGGCGTGCCCAGTTATGAACCCTGTTATCACTTTCAACCGGTTCCTATTCATACAAAGTAGTTCTCCAGTTCTTTTGGCTTTTCCATGTGCCCGTTTTGGGGTGCTTCCCCAATAGTTAATATGTTGTTCCCGAATCCAGTCGTTTATGAAACCCCGGACTGTACTTTTAGGTACTCCTGGGTTTGTGTCTGGTTCCGGTGTTTCTTCTGACCCTCTTTTTGCAAGTTCGTGAGGCTTTGCGTTGCCTTTGATCCCTTGCATGGTGACCTGGCACCCAAAATAGTTTTTCTCTATTTCGGTTTGCCAGTGTTCTTAGTTCTTCGATGCATTCCCATACCAGCCTTGACGTAACTTCCTGACTCGATATGGCCTTAAGTGCCGCTTGGCTGTCTGACATTATTTGAATATACTGATTTTCGACAGCTCTTTCATTGTTCGTTTTTGCACAATTGCGTTTAACTCTGCCTGAAATACCGAGGAATGTATTCCTATAGCATAGCTATGGTTAGTATCAGGGTTTTTGGAGAATACTCTTGCCCCAGTGCCTTCCGCAGTTTTAGACCCGTCTGTATACCAGGTTTGTTCCTGTCGTTGGGCATTGAGCTCCCTTATGATGATCTCCGCTCTTTCCTGTATTAAAACCTCAAATGTATTAAAAGAGTACCTCTTGGTTATGTGGTCTGATCTCATGTCTAGAACGTCTCCTGTCACTAACCTTGAGATACTCATGTGACCTGGCCTAATGTCAAGATTTCCCAGTGTATTCCCTAATCTGTAAGCACCTAATCTTGCCTCCCCTTGTATCACATAGTGAAGAGGTGGGAGTCCTATTAGTGCTTCCATTGCAGCTGTGGGGGTTGTTTTTATTGCCGCCGTTATTCCGAGGCAGGCCTTTGTACTTTGCTTAGCCTCGTTATTGCTTTCCTCTGCTGTGTCTTTGGCCACCACACCAAAGCTGCGTATGTTATTATCGGTCTCACAACCATGTTATAAAACCAATATACCATGTCGATTTTAACCCCCATTTTTTTCCAAAGGATCGCCTTGCCATCATTAACAAGGTTTCCGCTCTCCTTGTGGTTTTTTCTAGATGCTGGTTCCAGGTAAGTCTCGAGTTAATCATAACCCCGAGATATTTTACCTCCCCCTTAAGCTGGATGCTTGCACCTCTTAGGTTTAGAGGCCCTAGTCCCTCCAATTTAGTCCTTCCGCCTCTGTCCATTTTACTATATTTAGAGCCTCTTGTCAACAAAACTTAGTTCAGTATTTATTTAATTATCCAAGGTGGGTATAGGGTTGACAAAATGTTCCCATTCCTCAACTAGTATTTAATCAGTTTCTGGTCTTTAATTGTTCTAAAGTTCATAAACAATTCAACCTTATAAATGTACCTACAAATACAAATGTCCGAGAGCACTCATTTAATCTTGTTTTCTTCAAAACCGTGTTATTGTGGTTGACTTAAAATTCAATAACGACGTGAGAAAATCTATTCAAGTTACTATACATCAAATAACAAGTATGTCTATTGCAGAAATACACTTTAATAGCTATTAAGGAATCAATAAACCCATTACTTGAATGTTTATTTAAAATAAATAATTAAAAAGAAATGATTTGGCCAAAAGTTTTACACTAGTAAATCATTGGATCTCAGCACCACTAACAGTGTTCTCCATTAGGTCCAGTAGGAAAGGATCTGCGACGTAGTCCAACTTCCACATGGGTTAGCTCTATTACTGAAAAAACTGTCCAAATCGACATGAGAAATATCCTGAAGATAATAAGTCGGCCTCTAAACAACTATAAAAAGCTGAGAGTTTCACTAGTGATATTATTTGCTATGACTTACCCCTATCACAGGGAGTTCCTTGTTTCAAACGTAATAACATGGTGTTATGTTACATAACCAATCTTGTTCTTGTTATCAGAACATCACTTCCAAGTTGAAATTCAACACTCGCTATATACTCTTATCAGTTCGGAGTTTCGAAATTTCATTTTCATTCCACTATTTCCACTGACCCCGGTTCAAGTCCGAAAGGTGGCTGGATACCCGACGAGTCATAAAATGCCTCTGCGAACGAGGCCAAAAGTAAAACGAAGAACGCAGGGGATAGTTCGGGTGATCTGTCATCTGTCAATCAAGGCTCGAGACTTGAGCATTCTTGTTTAATTTTGATGCATTTTTTATAATGCTCTAACGTTGTATTTACTTGTTGCTTTCGACAATAAATACTTGTTGGTTTCTCTATTGAACCAGAGGATAATTAGCAACAATACAAGTGGCGACTTACGTGGACCTACTGATATTGATGCCGACAAGTTTCGAGGGAATAATCTCGATCTTCGCGAGTTTTACTAACTTTTGACTATCTTGTGCAATTTCCCTTGGGAACAGTCTTCACCTGTCTTCCAGATTACTCCAGCCAAGAAGTAGTCGTCAGGTAAATCTACAAGTCTCCTGTAAGTACCTTTTATAATATTTTGCAATTGATTAATTCCCGATCCAATTAATAAATAGCATAGAATATAGCCCTAACCCCAAAAAAACAACCCGATACAGAAAATAAATCAGATTCACTTACAAATGAACAATAATTCACTGAAATTTTTGGTAGTGGCTATTCAGCCGGCGCCCGTGTAAAATGGTAATCTAGCAAACGCTCGATGTTAATGCTTTCGTGGACGCGATTAATAAATACACTGAAACAAATTAACATTTATATTCCAGAAAAGTTTTCTTCAAATAATGTTTCTCCTTACAATAAGAAAATATGTTGAGTGAGGTGTAGGCATAATCTTGTATTTAAGATTTATAATAATCTGAGAGTAAATTATTTCATTCCAGTCTAGAATTGTTAATTAATCTAAGAAAGCTTTTAAGTTTGTTGTAAGTATAATATATGCTCTTAAGACTGATTCTATATACACTATAATTTTTGCACCCTTTTTCCTGAGAGTTGATTAATAAAATTGTGAATTCTTAATATTCATCTTAAAAACCTAGAAGTGCAGAATGTTCACTTTTAGGTTTAAATAGAAACCTAAAAAACCTAGGTGCAAAAAAAACCTGTACCTGCCAACCTGGTTAGGTACACATAAAAGTAGATTTACAATCGTAAGAACATAATACAAAACTGGAATAAAGATGGCTTTGCTTGCCCCTAAATTATCTTTGTTATAAGCAGGTAGGGTTAGATTTGGCCCAGAACACTGCGGCCTCTTGGGTCTATTGTATTTCCCTGTATTCACATACTATCTTTGTGCATTTGTTTAGTTTTACTAAGTTCCCTGGGACGTTCTTTTCAGTTCTAAGCCACAAAGAGTGAGACACTGCATAGCAAGAGCTTTGGATTTGAAGATCACATGATATGAGGTTTCTTCATCTTCCAGTCTACACGTGGTGGGATCATTGTGTAATCCCATCACATGAAGGTGTTTCAGCAAGCAGTGTCCCATCAGTAATCCCACAATGGTGGATATCTGAAGCCTTGCGAGTTGTAGTATCTCAGTAACCATGTGTGGGTTTGATACTCTTAGCATAAGCTTACTGATTATATGCCCTCTTATCTGTTGCCAGTGAGTGGTGTTTTGTGGTTATCCACCTGTTTACTGCCTGTCTAGCAGAGGTTTTGCTTATCCCAAATACAGGTTGAGATCCTGTGAATGGTAGTTCTGATACCTGTGTCCTGGTACCCACTCTAGTTTTACTTACACTTACACTAAAAGTAGCAAAACCAAACCACAAAAATGCTTGCAAAGGGATTTTCTTATTGTTATAGACATCTAGAAGCAAATTATCTCATTGCCAGCAAAAAATGAAAAACTCCATCAATATGAGACATTCTTTTGTATTTGACAGGTTTCACGACAGTTCCTACTACCGGCACTTAACTGGGTAGAATTTCTTGGTGTATCTAGTATAAAATAGGTACAAGAATAATACATGTATAAAAAAAATTATGCAACAATTATTTACTACGCATTTATTAGTAAAATATCCTCAAAGACCTTGCAAAATGGAATGATGTTGAAGCTGAATGACAGGAAATATTTAGAAATAAAACTGTACAACATATCTCAAAGTTTTAGTATTTCTTGTGCTGCAGCATAAATGTGCTTTGCAGAAATTCCGTATTTGTCCAAAAGTACAGTTGGGGGCCCAGAATGAGGAACGGTGGGCACTGCAATATGTTTAACAATAATGTTTCTTTCCATGGCAACTGCAGCAAATTACAGCTTCTCCCAAACCACCTTCGTAGTAGTGGTCTTCAACAACTATGGCACGGCCACCGCTTCTTTGATATTATTTACAATTGTTTCTTTATCAATTGGCTTTACTGTGAATGGATCGATTACTCTTGCATTGATACCTGCTTTGGCAAGCATTGTGGATGCTGTCATAGCTTCATGTAGGGTTACACCTCCTCCAATCAGTACAAGTTGATCTGTGTCGCTTTTCTTTACTACATTTGCTTTACCAACCTGAAAAAAAATTATAATGGGCTTAGTTATAAACTGTGGTTATTAACAGAATATAGATAGATAATTTTCCTAAGTTGTTACTTTTTTAGTAAGGTTGCATATCAACTATTTTAAGGCAATACATTATACTGAAACTTTACTACATTGGTGGTAAACTATGTGATGAATCTTTAAAAGATATAATCACAAAAACGAATATTAAGTTATCCCAGTTTATCTTAGAAAATACCAATATATTATTACACTCGCAATGGGTGTATAATAGGTTTTGTGTCACTACTTTTAAAATTTTAGTGTATAGTTAGAACTTAAAGCAAAAATTGCTGGGTTTAGTAAAAATAAGAAAATGTGATATAAAGGATGCTTCATCACTGTTTTTCCATTTTCTTTTATACAAGTAGAGTTCTATTATTTATTGTTGCCACCCCTAATGTTTAATCAGTCATATAGACAAACTGTAGCTTGTATTATACTTTGAACAGTTGTCATTTTCCTATATTTAAATTATTTACAAAATATATTTGATTTTGTTGTTAAAATACTAAAAACATTTTAGATTATAATGGATTGATCATAAATTTCTCTAGTTCCGAGGTATTTTCATATAAGGCATTTTAACACCGCTGTTTCAAATGATAAAAATGACACATCACCATACATAACTCAAAAAAATAATATTAATTATAATAGAAGTGATTTTAAAAAACCGACTCAAAAAATGAAGTTCGATGATTTTTTCTCATGGATCCCATTATCATATCTTGACCAAATTTATATGGGATCACCCCTGAGGTACCCCCTATCTAACAAAAAAAAAGAAGCAGCAAAATTGGATGAGGTGGTAAAGAATTATTGCTGAACATACACAAAAAATATTCTAATTGAAAACCTCGTCCTTTTTTGAAGTCAGTTAAAAATAAAAAAGGTAAGTACTGCATTGTTATAATTTACACAAAAACAATTGTTAAGTAAATACCTACCTATTAGACAAATTTAGGGCATCCAAACATACCTAGGTATTCTAATCTATAATAAATTCATAAAAATTCGAACTAATACCTATCTACACAGAAACGTTTTTGCTTAAAATGATTCATAATGTTCTTTTATTACAATATATTCATAGTCAAACCCCTAACACCCTGTATAATATACTGCAAGCCAAGTAACGTGCTTTCAAGAACTGTTATAAAAATATTTCTATTATCGATTTTCTTGAGCTATTCGGTACCATTGATAAATGTAATACATTGCCGTCAGTTTACTATCAAAGGCTAAGTCTGTTTTTTGGAAAGTTTTCTATTTTTTGCATTCCATCTAGAGCAGTTTTTTAATACTGTCTATTTTCGTATTTCGTCTAAATGTTTTTCGTGTCTCCCTGTAAAATCATTCTGTCTTAGGAGATTTTGATACCTAATTAGCCAACGATAAATGGTTTTTATAAATGAAGAAATGTATCTACCAATTGAATACCCTTTACGATTTTTTTTTTGTAAAAAACTGTAACTCTTGCTCTTTTAACGAACTACATTTCAAATATATGTTATTAACAACGTATAGGACAAATCAAAAGGCAATAAAATATAACTTATAGCAAACTTTCTTCATTAATATTACGTTCTTCGTCACAGTAGTCACTGTCAAAATCCCAGCACCTAAAAGTAGTAAACTGTGTAAATTCGGCACGGTGCGCGGTGGGCTGGTAAATTCAAATTGGCGCTCGTTTGTTTCCTTGTCGGTTATTCCGTAATTCAAACGACGAGCTTTCATTGGCCGAAATCTGTTGCACCATGCCAGTCGTGGAGAGGTATTTAAGATGACATCTTGGACGTAGTACAAAAACAGTTCGGGTACAGGTGTTTTTCTAGAGAAGTCTTTGTAATTTTGGTATAATTTATAGTTTAAAATCGTTTTAACGTTTGCGCTAACAAGTCTGTGTCGATATAGTGTTATGTTGTTAATAAAAAAAGTGTGTATTTATGTGCTAGTGTCCACCCCCCCTTATCTCGATCATATGGAATATAGCAGAAAAATTAGTTTATACCCTACTATACAATGAAAATTTGGATCTTTTCAACGTTATGTAAGTGTTTTTAAAATTTAAATTATTTATTTGATGTATAAAACTTTCTGGAACATTTCAAGGGGTCAGTACAAGAACTGGACGTCCATTTTACTTTTTCAGGATAGGTAAAAAAACGTTGCTATGCTTTATTAATCAACTTTTGACTATTCATTTTAATATTATCGATATAGCATAAACTATATGTATGTATTAATAATAATGTCCACTTTACACATTTTTGAAACAACGAACGCGATTTATTTGGGTCTTAACTCCGGTTTTGAGCAGTGATAAATAAAATCGAAGGACTAATTAAACTAATACGAACAATGAAAGCATTTACTACAAACTATATACAGAATATTTTAAAAATAGTTTAAACTTGAATGAAAAAAACGGAATTAAATCAATTTAAGTCGATATAAATCTGGTAAAAGTGGGAAAGAAGCACGAAGTAGATAACGAAGTGTCACGAGAAGCTCCGATTCGGGACTAGCGATGGCGCAAACGTTTGAAAAAGCACAGGCCCGTCTCAGGTAATTTGAAACCGAACAATATTGCTTTGCTATATTACTCTACTGTACCTAATGTTACTATCAGGGAAAGAAGTCTGGTTTTTGGATAGGACGATGTAAAATATATCAGAGAACATGGCCCATATCGAAAATTAGATACTTTTGATAAAAATATGGACATCCACTTCTTGTATCGAACCTTTTAATTTGCATTAAATTTAAATAAAGTTTTTCGGGTAGGATACAAAATATACAGGGTGGGTCACCGGTAACGCCTCGCTCTGTAGAGCCAAAACCAATTGCTTTTTTTTTAAATCTGTTTTCAATTATACAGGGTTTTTCAGGAAAGTAATACATAAATGTCAAAGTTAGGTTTTTTAAATGGGTATTGTATTTTATATTTGAATTGCTCTAGCTTTTCCCATTATATCAATAGACAAATAGTAGGGGCAGGTGGGGTATATGTAGACTCCAAATCTTTAATTTTAATTCCAGAATGTGATATTTGTAAGTTTACACTATTACCCTATTTCAAAGATTTGGGTGTCTACATATTTGTAAGTGTACACTAAGCTGGAGAGGCTAGCAGCGATGTTAGTATGCATCCATATTCTCTCAATAGTTAAGCCGTGATCTCTCCAGTCGCGTCATGGATGGGTGACGGCTGGGACGTTCCAACATGGGACGTGTTACCATGGAACTTAGCTGACTAACGTTTAACCATCAACGCCGTGGAATTAATAACGATGAATAATGAAGTGAATTGGCGAATGGGAACGTACAAAAGGTGGTAAAATATGCTGCAAGTTGCAGTGCCGCACGGGGGTCCGAAGGGTGTAAAAAAAGGGTCGCTGGTAATTTCATGTTTTACTACTCTAGCTTGTTTAATAACTTAATTGTAATAAGGTATGGTGATCATAAAAAAATATGTTTAATTAATATTATATTTTAATTTTTTTGTTCAAAAAAGGTCTAATTAGAGCATGTTTTTATCTTAAATCGTGTGTTTCTAACGACCTATATACTACACGTATTTTGAAAATAATAAAATATTGTTTTCTTTGGGAGCAATCAAGCTGTCTACATGTACCCCACTTTCAAATATTAGTAGGTGTAATTGTTGGGGTAATTCTTTTTAGAACGTATTCTTGTGGAGAATTTCGAATAGTCAGAACGTGATGATATTGACACAGTTTCACAGTCAGCATATTTTATGGGATCTGTCAAGCTAGAAAGTGTCTATTCATTTATAATATATCCCAAACCAACAGATATTAAAAAAAGATTTTCATCATAATATGAGTAAAACCTTACGCTAATGTTTTATTTTATTATTATACTTACCCATCTTTTTTATCTACCGTGTCGTACCAAGTCAAAATTGTTTGTCTAAAATGATGACGAAATTCCTGATTATAGCCTTGTTTCGATTTCCTCTACCCACCCTGTACATAGTATGGAAATTAAATAATCTCCGTTTATTTGAAACCGATACGTCAATTTTTATTTTAATCAATATATTTAACAAAAAAATTCTGCATTCCCTTTTTAGGTTGATTTTCAATTCTATATTGAAATATAAAACCGGTTAAATATAGTTAAATAGACTTTTACATATATCTTTAAAGATACTTAAGGTAATCAAAAAATATACAGAAAGTAATATTTAAGTTACAAAAGTGGCAATTATGCTAACTAAAAAGCTAACTTCTAGTTGCACTGTTATCATTTTCTACATTTGGTATTTAAAAACAGGTGTCGATCCTTTGGTTTTCCAATTTTTGGCCACCATTGTATTTTAATAATAGTTTTTAAATATTTAATAAAGTAATTTACTTACTACAAATACGTGATTGTTTGAATAAATAACAGGAGTATTGGGTCTGTTGAGTCTTGTAAATGTGATTCCTTTTGTATTTGCGGCAAGTTCGATAGCACGCTCGGTAGATACAGCATCAGCGGGATAGAACACTGTGCTACCAGGAATGGATCTAAATAGTGCAAGATCTTCCAAACCCATCTGACTGGGTCCATCTTCTCCTATACTCACTCCACAATGTGATCCTACAAAGTTTACATTGGTTTGCGAAATAGCGCCCATTCTTATCTAAAAATAATATATAAAAAATACAATAATAAAAAAAATGTACCTAGAACTTACTTGATCAAAAGCTCTTGTGAAAAATGTGGCGAAGGTCGAAACAAATGGAACTGTTCTATCTCTGCAAGCAGCTCCAATTGCAGTACCAACAAGACTTTGTTCAGCAATAAAACATTCAATGTACCGGGACGCGTCATATTGCTTTAGCTTTTCTGAGTAGGTAGAATTTTTCATATCACCATCCAAAGCAATAACTCTAGAATTGTTTTGTGCTATTTTTACAAGAGCAGTTCCATAGGCTACTCTTGTGGCGATTAGATCACCTAGTTTGTAACTGGGAGGAGAAGATAGAGAAATATTAGAAATGTCTACGTTTGGAGCGTCATCTTTTAATGGTTTTTGAGGATGTACTTGTGGTGGTCCTTGATTTTTAATGAGTGTTTTTAGGTGTGCTATCACTTTTTCTGAGTTTTCCCCAAGAGCTTTTCCATGCCAGTTATCTAAGTTTTCAATTTTAGGAAAGTTCTTTCCTTTAAAAGTTTTTGCTATAATGGCAGTTGGTTTTCCTTTGGTGTTTGCTGCTGTATAGAGTGCTTTGATTAGTTCTTCGACATCGTGTCCGTCCACTACAATGGCATGTACTCCAAATGATTCGATACGCCTACGATAAGTATCAACGTCGTGGCCAAGAGAGGTTTCCTCACTTTGACCTAGACGGTTAACATCGAATATCATTACAAGGTTGTCTAGTTTGTAGTAGCTAGCAAAATGAACTGATTCCCAAATTGACCCTTCAGCACTTTCACCGTCTCCAATAAGGCAGTATACTCTATAAAAGTAAAGAAATTCATGGTTTTGCCAATAATATATATTATGCTAAATTTATTTGTTATACCCATCATTAAATATTACTTTATTAATATGTGTACCTGTAATTAGCTTTATCGTAATTTTTTCCTACATAAGCCATTCCTCCAGCGACAGCTAGACCTTGACCAAGAGATCCAGTACCAACATCGATAAAGTTAAGCCTTGGCGTTGGATGACCTTCTAAATCTGAATCGATTTTTCTCAAATTTTGTAAGTCGCTGGTTGGAAAAAGACCAGCTTCAGCCCAAACAGCGTATAAGGCAGGTGCAGCATGACCCTTTGAGAGTACGAATCGGTCACTTGATGGGTCTTTTGGCGCTGTTACTTTGTAACGCATGGTGTTGAAGAATAGAACAGACAGAATTTCTGCTATGGAGGCGCATGACGTTGGATGTCTGAAAAAATTGTAGGGTATTTTTGATATCGACTGTATCTGAATCAATTCTTATAGTTATGACAAATTGGAAAGGGTTGCAATATATTTTTGTGTCATCTGCATATAAAAGGATGATGATATTAGAATTAGATATTATGGGCTAGAAATAATTATTTAAATATTATATCCCAAATAGAGAATTCTAAAAAAATATAATAGTTATTTACAATTTATTACAGTTATGTACGCGAAATTATTATTAGCATCTATAAAATAATTTTCTACGTCAATGTATTGCGTTTACATCGTTTAGCTGCGCGGCCAAATCCTGTGTCTGAAGTGGGAGAACTGTTAAAAGTTTGTTCAACTTCTGTCCCTGTGTGGAAAAAGGAATTCGATATCACATGGCAGTTACTATGCCTAGAGCAAATGATCAAGTCTAAAGATGCCTTAGCCGCAAGTGACGAATAGACGAATGTCATTCCATTATTAAAAAAATCTAAATGGGTATCAAAAGTACCATAAACAAAATACGATACTCCTCAGGCGAAGTTTCCTGGGCATCAAATTAAGCACGGAAGGCGTTTCATGAATCACGTGACAGAGCAAGCGAAAAAGGATGGATTAAATCCTATTTAACAAACAGAAGTATGTCCGTAACATTCAACAATAAAAACTCACCTTTTATACCCATAACCTCAGGGGTACCTCAAGGGCCACATCTAGGTCCTTTACTTTTTAACATATTTACATATGATATAACGACATGCTTTAAAAACTCTCAATGTCTGTTATATGCCGACGATCTAAAAACTATTTAAAATTATTGAAAGTAGAAGAGATTGTAAGTTGTTGCAGGAGGACATAGCTCGCTTTTTATGAATATTGTGGGACAAATCGTCTGGTTCTAAATATTGATAAATGTAATAAAATAACCTTTTCGCTATTGTCGTCCTATATCCAGTGGAATTACTTCATCCAGAATATTATCAGATAAGTTTCTAGCTCGGTTTCTAGTATCAAAGATCTTGGAATTACCCTCGATTCTAAGTTAAACTTTGACATTCATGTAGAAAATATTGTCCAAAAATCTTTAAGAACCTTAGGGTTTATTCTCAGAAATACAAAAAAAATTTCTAATGCTGTCTATTTTAATATAACTCAATGGTTAGAAGCACTCTTGAATATGGGTCACCCTGTTATTATAAATACATCAATCGGATAGGAGTTCAAAAGAAAACTAATAAAACATGTAAATGACCGGTTTAATAGAAATATAATTCTTGAATCATATGATTTTAGCTTACGACATTACAAAATACATAAACTTGTTTCAAGGAGAGTTGTTGCTCATCTTATATTTCTTACAAACTCATAAACAACAAAATTGACTCTGTGTATACACTAGAAAACTTAAACTTTTACGCGAAAAATCACACATCTCGCTCAACTAATCTTTTTTATTATAACTCAGTGTTAACAAACTATTGTAACAACTCTCTGGTAACAAGACTGCAATACTACTACAATCAATATTTTGGCCACCTTGATCTGGCTAATGTTTCTCTGTACACACTAAGGCACGCACCAAGCATCGTGCCTTGGAGCAGAAAAAAAAATAAAATAAAAAAAAATAAAATAAAAAAAAAAAATAAAAAATAAAAAAAATAAGCAAATTGTTGTAATTTTTTTTTAAATTATTGTTAATTTCAGAATTAACCTTATAATTGGGCATTTATTTGCCTGCCTGCCTGCCTGCCGAAAGGGTAAAAAAGCTCTGAAAATAGTACAACAGTGCTTAAAAAGTGCAAGTCATCAGTAATGCTAAGAAAGATTTACTAAAACTTTTCAAATCAGATACTGCTATACCATTTTCACCATTATTATCACAATCTACCTGTATCCAGATACCTGAACCTTCCATTGAAGATAGTGACAGACACTGAATATTAGGATCTGTATGTAGACACCTAAAATAAGCTAAGTGACGTTCCCAATCGATAGATTCTTATTTAAGTTATTGTTAAATAAACAGCTTCTACTGATTTTTTTTATACATTTTTAAACTTTTGAATAGCATTTTCTCGAGTTATCTTGATTTTTGCTGTAATTCTACGTTATATATACAGCGTGTCTACATAAGTTGGCTAGGTACATATGGAAAACTTTTTTATTACCTATTAGTTTTATCCAAAAAAATGTATTCTTTATAAAAAGTTCTGTATACTCTAAAACCTAAAATTCAACCATCAGAAATTAATTTTTTTTGAGCTGTATACGAGGTGCGTCAAAAAATATTAATGTTGCTTAAGAGTAAATACGTATCTTTTATTTTTGAGAAAAATTGTATACGACTGATACAATTTGGTATCAGATGATTGATGTTTAGGTTTTAAGTCATGAAGAACTTTTAGAATACTATTAATTTTAGAAAAAAATGCATTCTTCATAAAAAATTGTGCATAGTCTAAAACCCAAAATACAACCATCAGATATCAAATTTTATGAGTCGTATAAGAGTTTTGTCAAAAATGAATGTAGGTATTTTACTCTTGACCAAAAATAATTTTTTCGCTTTTATTCGCCTACTCAACGCGACTTAATGAATCTATAAGTGGACAAAACGAGTTTAAATTAGGTACTTAGGTACCTAAAAAAATAGATTAATTCATTATTCGCTGTTCAACTGATAATGAGAAAAGTTAATTTCTTTTACCTTGTATTTCGTTCAAAAAAAGGGCTCATTTAAGAATTCTAGATACCTAAATTAATTCTAAGAATCGGCCTTTCTGGCACCGGCAAAATGTTTCTGTGGGAATAAACCGGTTGTTAGGTAGGTACATAACTACAAAACTGATAAGATTAGAACAAGAATATATGCAGTGTTAGAGTAATACAATTTTATGTAACATTTGATAAATCAAAATGTAGACAAATAATTCGGTGCCAGTATCGATAATTTTTTTTTTAAATATTCATAAAATAAAAGATATTGTTTATTTAGCCAATTAATAGAAAGGCCTACTTGTTTTTGTTAAAACGCCACTCAAACAAATATAATAATGAACATGACTGGCAACATTGCAAAGAACAGCATGGCCTTCCGTCGTGAATATGTTCTAATATAGAAAAGTCAATTATTAATCTATTTACCCTGATTTTGCTGCTTGTGTTGAAGTGATAGAGTGGATTCTAATTTTATTGGCGATGTCTTTCAACTCTTGCACTAATTTTGCTTCTGGTTTGTGGTAATTGGTCATGTTTTTGATTTTAATACGGATATTAAAAACACCGGTTTGTCAGACTACGTTGCTGATTTGGAACTGGCAACTGGCAATGCTGGAAGGAAGGTTAAACGAAGCAACAGGTTAGAATTGTGACGTTGCTTGAATTGATTGAACATAGACGTAGAGTCAAATCGGGCGAAGATGAATCGCTTATTTATTGATATAATATTACACGGAATAGTCGAAATTTTAATATTTCTTTTTTTATACATAACTAATTACCCGATCTTTTGAATTTATAATATTTGTTTGATTCTCAATTTCAGGAAAACAGGGTAGTGGTCTGATGTCAGAGTATGTATGGTCTGTATTTTGTGCTCACTATGCATAAGCCCAGAGTATGAACGTTTACTTTTGTGATGACACAATGTAGACGTTGCGATGATATTACAGCGCTACCTTGTTACGTTATTCAACGTTATTGGAAGTTCCCAAAAATGATGTCTTTTTAACAAACCAGATGTGACATTCCTGTTATACCCAAGAAAGTCTTTTTACTTCTTGTAGATGTTATTATAAAAGCCCATAAAATAAAATCGTATTAATGAACCAAATGTGACGTTCTAAATATGATATAACAGAGTTCATACCTTTGTAATTACCCCACCCCAAGAAGTTTTAATAGGTACTAAAAATATATTATTAATAGAAATAGTCTTAAATATTACCATACTAATCCTCCCCCCCCCCCGGGGATTTAACTCTGGATGCGCTACTGCTTACTTGCTACCGCTTACGGAATAAGAAGAGGTATTCCTTAAGTTTAATCTTTAAAATCCAATCATACAATTTCAATGGATCCTCTCCTATGGCTCAAGAATTTGAGAATTACAGTATCAACATTTTATAATTTACAGACCGCCGATTCGTGGGGCGCACCTGGGGTTTCTCCCCCAGAGTCGTAACATGGACTCCACGGTCACCATAAGACCTATGCTAACATACGGTGGCGAAAACCCAAAAATTGGCAGCTATCCGCAAACTAGAACAAATTCAAAGAACAGCATGTCTCAACATAACAGAAGCCATGAAAACATTAACCAGAGCCATGGAAGTCATTCTTAGTCTCGCTCCTCTTGATATCTACATCAATGAGGTTGCTCTGATGACAAAGACACACCTCCGAACGGTTGGAATAGAATGTGCTGTAGGATCTGGTGAGGCGAGACGTCGCTTTTGGCAAAAGACTCTCGATACGCTCCCACTACTTCAAGCGAACATGGACTCCATCTCACCGAGATATATCTTCCATAAGCTATATAAAGTTATAATAAAACAAATAAAAGAGCTGGAAGTGGCAGGTACGATTCATATCTACACCGACGTTTCTAAAACAAAACAAGACTTAGGATGTGAAATATACTCCAGATCCTTAAACCTCAACATAAAATGAGATGTGAGCAATAGTGCCAGTGTAGTTCAAACCATGCCCACGGGGATTCTCATAACAGCAAAAGAAATCACCAGAAACAATATCATTGGAAGGAACATGCTCATCTATACAGATAGCAGACAAGTACCTCTCACCCTGAACATACTATGAATTTACTCAGGGTTAGTACTAGAATGTCATGAAGCTTTGACCGAAGTATCCTTCATCAAAGATGGATCAAAGGTCACGCCACATCAAAAGGTAACCGTCTTGCTGATTCACTAGCAAAGAAAGCAGTCAACTAAATACTTTTTAAACCTGGCCATTCTATTGGACTGTCAACATGGGTAGTAACAAACCTTATTAAAGAACATTCCCTTGTGAAATTCAAGGAAAGATGGGACAAAACAAGAAGCTACAAAGAACTTTTAAGTTGTCCTGACAACGCTACAGTAAACAAATACTTGGCTATGACTAGACATAATCTGCGGCTGATGACAGGCAGTCTGACTGGTCATTGCCAAGTACGGAAGCATCTCCATGTCATGGGGCTGTCAGAATCCGCACTCTACAGGAAGTGCGAACGAAAAGATGAGACCATCGAGCATGTTCTCCACGATTACACGACGCTTTCGTTTATTAGAAGATTTGTGTTCGGCGAGAATTGGCTAACACCGGCCGATATAAGGCAAGGCGCAAATTGGGACACGTGTGAGGTGACGTGACACGAGAGACACGACTCGTACGTGCTACACGTGCTGCGTGGTGATCCGCATATTGAGACACGCGGTTTCAAATAGGAAACGGCGGGGTTTGGATTTGATTGGCAGTTCGCGACTAGCCGGCATCAAAAAATACCTGACAATTTTGACAAACGAACGAAACAATGTCTGACATTATTGAACTTAAGTTCTAAATTAGAATCGGATGATGCTGAGGAGAAAATGTTGTTTTATTCCTTGATGAAGAAGAAATTTAATTCACCTAATAAATTTATTCTATCGAAGAGAAAAACAGTGGACAATTTACAATTACAACTAAAATTAGTAATGCTGATTTTACTAATTATTTCCGAATGAATTGAAACCAGTTTGCTGAAGTACATGAGATGATCCGACAAGACATCGAGTCACAAGCAATATCACCTTAAATCTGATTCTTTAGTTTTGTCTTCATATAATTAGCATTTTTTGTATTGTAAAGCTCTGTGTTCCCTTACCGCCTCTATAAACTTTTCTTCTGTCATTTTTTTTTGTAAATAAACAAGGAAAACACTTGTAAACAAAGTCACCTACACGCGTAGCACGGGAAACTGAAATACTGCGTGACACGTCTGTGAGCCGACGCGTGTCGTGCCAGGTCGCGCTGCGTCGTCAATTTGCGTCAATGTATCCTTTAGTTTACAAAACAACGTGCTGTGCTGCGTTATCGCACACGTGCTATACGTGTCCCAATTTACGCCTTGCCTAAGAGAACTACATTAAATCTATAGGCTGGGTCACGAGCTAGGAGGTGCCTATCTACTTAGAAGGATGCACAATGAACCTAGTGAGACCTAAGTGCCATGGGTTTACCAACCCTTCACACGTTATAGATACAGATACCCCTTCACATGCGCTATGTAATCTCTCCTATCTGATTATATCGTAGTTTCGTATTTTGATTTTGTATGTTTCTTCTCCGGTATGTCAGATTTATGTTTGTGAATAAAGCCGAATAAAATTGGCATCTTTGACCGTATCCTGCTTGCATTGTAGAAACATATTTTGTAGTTACGTTTTTCTTATTTATTGAATTTAGTTCTTAAAATTATAGTTGTCAAGTGTTGTTACAAAGTCGTATAAAATAATCTAGACTATCTGGACACCGTCTAAGTTGTGAGTTAAGGTCCCGAACCGCTCTCGCATCGCCTTGGCCTCTTGTTTTGGTCTATATTCTTCTTGATTATTCTCTCTATTTGGTATGGAACTGGTTATCTGACTCGGTAATCGTGGGAATTCTTCCAGTCTCCCACGCTGTTTTTGTTCTTTTCCTTTGGTTTGTTCCTAGGGTTGGTGCTTGTTTGTATTTTGGCATGGCTTTCTGTTTTCTCTCCTCTATTCATTCTGGTTTTTCTAAGTAATGTTTGCATTTGCTGTAATTCCTTTTGTGGTATAGGTATTACCCTTAACACCGATATAAAAAAATAAATATTAAAATTTACTTCTTGTAAAAAATAGTAGATATATTATGTAAGAATATTTTTTGTAAATTTTTGAATAGAGAATAATTATTGCGAAAAAGGAGTCTTTTTAGTTTCCTTCAATAATATCCTTCTCTTTTGACATTTTCCAAATTTTCTAATAATTGTTTTCTTTTCAGCGTATATTCGTAAAAAAAAATTAAATCGCCGCAAATATTTCGAGTTAGTCGGTAGCACGATATCAGTGGTTTGAGCTCATGTTCATTTCATCTCTGACAATGAAGACGTTTGATGTTAGAAAGTATGTCCTTTGATGTTTAATGTAGATCGTTTATTTACATGTACCTTCTAGGATCAAATGGATAAGGCTGCAAATATACTGGCCTAAGATACGTCTATTTTGAAAAATCTTACGTATCAAAGGGTTGTATAGAACTGAACATGATGTAATGATCATTCATGTCGTCGGCAAAAGATTTTTCCGGATCCGATTTTATTGGAAAATCTACTGAAAATAATGGATATTACGAATAAATGAAAGAACTACTCGAATGTTCGATGGATTTTTACGTTTTGAGGTCCCCTGAATCCGTTTTGACTATTTTCGCGATGATATCTGTGTGTGTGTGTCTGTGTGTTGCAAATTTTAAACTTAAGCTTTGTTCCAGCGTCCAATGAGCTGATTAGATTTTGAGCAGAGTCGGAACATCTGGGGGGTACTTTATAGGTGGTCATTTTTATATTTTATGGAATATATCTGTTATTTACGTTTGGGGAAGAAAATTCTTCAAATAAAAGTTACTTGTTATATTATTATCTATAATTTTTGTTCTATACAAAATTTTCCTAGAATGGTCCGTATTCGAGAAATTTGACAAAATGTAAAAAAAATATTTTTTTATAAAAATTGTTCAAACAAAAGTTGTTTGTAATATAATAATACTAGGATATGCCACTGCCTATGGGTTATTTGGAAGCACCTTCAGTTGCCTCAATCCACAGTTAACGTGTGTTCCCAGGGCAGCCGAGAGCGCAACACTGGGCCCTAGGACAATTCTCCAGATCGGGCCCCGCGACAATTTTATAAAAAATTAAAAACAAAAATTTCTCTTCCTCTACTCTTGAATTTCTTTAAAAAAAAAAGGTCTTCAGTGAAGAACTTCCTCCCTGTTGTCGTAAAAAAGACATTCTCATCACAGCCGGGCAGGCCCGACTAGAGGGGGGGTAGCCGGGACTAATTCCCGGGACCCGGGCTCAAATGGGGGCCCGGCAGCGCTGTAAGGGGGGGCCCGAAAATAGGGTTTTCTGTTCCCGCATGGTGATGTGATTGTTAGAAGAGTAATTGAAGTTAGGGATCCAATATTTTTGTAGAGGTGAGGACTTTTTTTTTTTTAGAAAACGAAAAGTTTCAGGGCCCGATGTAGAGAATTGTCCTGGGGCCCGACCTGGCTCTCGGCGGCCCTGCAGCCGGGCCTCCATTTGAGCCCGGGTCCCGGGAATTAGTCTGTATATTCGGTAAACGCCGACACGTTAGATACTCGTATCAGTTCGGCATCGAGAATAACAGCCTCGTAAAATCTCGACCTGTTAGACTAATACGTCGGCGATTTACGAATACAAGTTTTCGATGAAAGATATTTATATTAATTTAATTGTACACTTAATGAGTTAAATTAATTCAAATTTCAAAAAGTCAATTGTATATTTAGCGAAAGTAGATTCTTTTGAAATTATTGTTGCATTCATATTTTTAAATTTAAAAATTAACTTTTATTTTTATGGAAAAGAAAATTTAATGTAGGGAGTATAGCTAAATATGAAATATGTTCCTAAAATGGAATACTATTAAATTATTTTAACAAGCTTTGGTAACGCCGCGTAAATCGCATCCAAACTCAGTTCAGGATATCACATTTTTTCCAAATTATTTTTTCCCCAATAAACCATTGAACGCTAAATGGAATGTATGTCGTTTTTCTAATTTTTTCGTAATTTCGAATATTTTGCACGTGTTTATTAATAATATTAGTGCGGAAGGGTAGTATCAACTCCAAATTTTTATACTGAAGATGTGTTTGAGCTTAACAAAATTTCTTCACTAGTGTTGAGAGTAATATTTGAATCTGTTACCAAATATTAAAATGACGATGTACCTAATATGGAACAGTGTGCTGTTTGCAATTTGAGATACACAAGTAAATGATTGTCACCTGTTTTTATTTGCAATGGAAAGACATCAGGGGTAAACATGGATAAACCAATTACGACACGAACAATAAATTAAAAAATAATCTGAACAGGGACTTGCTCATAGGTACCTATTCAATAGAAAAAGGAAACTAAAACTAAAATTGTCTCGTGATGTGTGATAATTGATGTCAAGTAAACAAACATTTCTTATTTTATAAATCGCCGACGTATTATTTCTAACACGTCGGGATTTTATGAGTTTGTCATTCATTGCATCGAACTCTACCGAGTGTCTAATTTGTCGGTGGTTTCCGAATATGCGTCCGGCTGCTCCCCTTCTAGTCGGCCCTGTGTGTTCCTTTCCGAATGAAACACCCCATAGATAAACTAACACCCTGTATTATTTTTTAAGGAAAAGCACAGTTGACACTATTAAGTATTTGTACCCTTCAGTACAATGACATGAATGAATATTTGAAAATGTGCAGTACCTGCATCCGCCGCATCTGTAATCTGGCCCTCCCGCAGAGGCGGCAATGCAAGAGAATATGCGATGTGCAATACCCTTGTGATGATGGTATACTGGAATGTAAGACGATCGCTTTAAACCGCAAATATAGCGGCCAAGTTTTTTGGGCACCGACCGCAAATTAATAAATTGGTAGGACGAAATCATTATCTACTGCCGAACTAGCGATTTTTGTTTATTTCAAAAACTTTTCGAACGAACTTGTTGCATTTAAAAATGCTTCCCATAGGTACGCTTAAAATATTATTAAATCAATAAGTACAGAATAATATCGTGTTTTTTAATAAGCAAAGGAATCTTGAAGAGACTGTTTTGCAATATGGTCCTTTAAATTATTTAAAATGTTATTTTTTAAATGTAATTTCTGTAAAATGCAATAGCATATTGGTCTGTGTTTATAGCATTTTGAAACCATAGGCTCATGAGATCATGACAGGCAGGCGCTTGCGTCACGTTAGGGTGGGGTATATACCTACTTCACAATTTCTAGCCAGTCTGTGTACCGAGCCGGGTTGAGTGCGCGTATAAACTTTCTATCAGCTAAATATTGTCTGTTTGACATTTAGCATTGCCTTTAACGTCCTAATCATCCTCAATCTGGGCAATAATTGAACGTTTTTTTAAAGTTTTTTTTAGCATTATTAAGGCCACCGTCGAGCAATAAAGCAGTAAACTGTGTTTGGTGAATTCTAACCTCTACAAGCTGAAGATAGTGACAGAATGGCAGATTCCGGCTAATATAACTAGTGAAATATTGTGATAAGGATTAAACGCTCTTAATACTCGAAATAGTGCACTATAAACTGCAACATTTCTATAAATAAACGTTGTTTACATTGTTGTTAATTGTGAAAAGTGAACAATAACCCCTATCAGACAAATCTGAAAGTGACATGTCGAAAGTAAACAATCGCTAGTTTAAAGGTAAATCGAAATTTACACTTAATTAGACTGTAAAATGATGTTTCTGTGATTGAATAGTTTATGTTAGCTTTGTCGTTGTAAAAGAGAGTTGAGTCTGGAGTCTTTGACCAGCTTGACATTCCATAATACAAACCGTGACTTTCGTCATCGTCATCGCCATCGAATCGGCTTCTCCGTTTCCACTCGAACCTCGAGCGAACTAAGCAAACGTTTTCTTGCTTACCTATCGATTTTTTGACGAAAATATCAATTAAATAATACCAAACCAATCTGGACAACCCACAGGGAACCCACGGACACTTTCATGAAATGTGTGACTTCGAATAATAATTAAGAGCTGTATGACCTTGAAAGATAATGCACAGTTTCTAGGTGTGTAAACTGTGTGTAAATATTGTGCTGGTTTGCTCTCAAGTCAACATTTCTAAGTAGTTTATTATTGTTAAGGTTTGGTAGGTAATTATACCTAAATAAAGAATGCGTTTTTTTCATGTTGTCCCAAGTTTGTGCTTCTCACGGCTTTTCTTGTACCTATTCTTTACGACAGCCGTTCTCAATCTTCGGTATGCTTACCCTGTGGGGTAGGGTTTTGGATAGTTTGAAAAAAAAAATGGATTGGCAGTGAATTACCTACTAAGTATGCAAATATTAGTATTTTGGATAATTTCATAATCATAGTAGGTAATTAGTTATCTCCAAAACAAAATTACAGGCACATGTGGACATCTAAAAGGGTTTAACTCTACAATCTAGGTACAATGATAATGTGAACAGTGGCGGCTTGTCACCAACATATTAAGGGTTCACAATGACAATATAGATCTCAGTACAGATGTAAATAATAATAATAATAAATGCCTTTATTTGTACAAATGAAAAAATAGTATAATGTATTAGGCGAGATTTAGCCTGCGGCTACTCTTATATCTAACCTTTAAAGTAAGGTATTTGTACATGTACGTACATAATGTACATATTTTCGTCTTACGGAAAAAGACCATGTTAAATTATCATGTGCGTACTTAAGAGCAAACCGAACCCCTCGAAAATTTATAATTCATTCTGAGCCTTATTTTTAGTCATATTTTCGTGAAATTTTCAAGAAATACCAATAATAAAAGTTAGGGTGGAGAAACCTTGAATTTTTTGTAAACCTTCGAAAAGTATTTATTATGAAAATTTTTAAAAGTAATTTAAAAAAAACACCTTTCTGTATTAAATCTATAACAATTTACCATACCTACTTAATGGAAAAATTAGAGGAAAATTCCCCGAAAAGTGTAAAAGTGGTGTTTCTTCTGTGTTAACAAGCAAGAAGACATTTGCTATCGGATTTGATAAAAAAAGTGGCTAAGATATTGATAATGATAATTCCCTGTATTGGACAGCATACCCCATTGATTAAGTCCCTAAATAAAAACTCATCTTTACCAATGGTAAGACCTGGCCGACATTGGAAAATATAGCTCCAGAAATGAAGTTTACCTCTTAAAGTCCTAATGCAATAAAGTGCTATAAGTAAATAATAAAGTGGCCCCAAGAACTTGAAGAAATTTGGCATGATTATGATGAAACTGTTGATAAAATTGAGGTACCGTTAGAGGTGTTTTTAAAGTTCCATAAACAAACAAATTCCTAGAATATACAACATATTTCTTGTTTCAAACCTAAAATTTAACATGTCGCAAATAGGTATCTGACTTTGACGAATTTAAATCAGAACATGCGAGATCTACGTCGAATTTAGGTTCAGATGCAGTTCATCAGAAATACTCCACTTTTTTATTTTATTTTCAAAATTGAGAAAATATGAAATAAATACGTAATTTTTAAAATAACACTGAACTTGTAAATAATATTTAACTCGACAAAACTTTAAAAAACAATCTAATACCGTCCAATTCTTCCGCAAAACCGCTAAAACTGTCTGATTTAGGTACATTTACCTTAAATAGTAAAATAAAGAAAATGGAGAACTAAGATATATCGCAGTTATCCAATCCTGTCTATACCTAAGTATACCTTTCTAAAACTAAGTATATACATCTGTACTGAGATCTACCTTTATTCAAATTGAAACCTACAATATTTTGGTTACGAGTCGCGACTGAATGTGAACAAGGTAGTTTTAATTACATCTTTGATCATGTTTATGAAATTTCTCGTACCAATTTCAAATAATTTTCACGTCTACCAAAGAAAGCAGCAGAGTTCCTAAGGAATTTTGACCTAAAACCTATGCCATATTTTAAGGCTATTTTTATGCCATATTCAAGAATTTTATGCTTCTCGTTTTTTACAAAAATCAAGGTGCTTTCCTAGCTTCGAACGACGTCAGCAAATCACCTGAATTTCTTAGTTTTTTTTTTTTTCAAAAACACCATATTTTTAGACTCTTAAAATATAAACATTTTCGAAAAAAGTTGGTATTTTTTAAAAATATTATCCTTTGCTAGCTTCGAACGAATCCAGCAGAGCACATCAGTGTTTTAAAGATTTTTTTCAAAAAACAATGACAACACATTTTTAGGCACTTGAAATATTATAACACTTTACTAAAAAATTGCCGTTTTTAAATAATACAGAGTGATGTGCTGGAACAAAGTCAGCAGAGTGCCTTTTCTGAAACATCTACTTATACCACATTTTAAAGCTTTTTTAGGCTCTTAAAATGTAACATTTTTCAAAAAAAATTTGTATTTTTAAAAAATACAGCATGCTTTGCTAGGTTCAAACGAATCCAGCATAGCACCTTGATTTTTAAAACTTTTTCTAAAAACACCACATTTTTAGGCTATTTTTAGGCTCTTGAACAGAGTTGGCAGGTACAGGTTTTTTTGCACCTAAGTATTTCAGGTTTTTTAAAAAACCTAAAAGTGAAAATTCTACAATTTTTGGTTTTTTAAGATGCATATTAAGAATTTACAATCAACTCTAGGCAGAAAGGGTGCAAAAATGACTATATAAAAACAAATGCAAACATTTCATCAAAGTTTATACCATTTCTTCTTGATATTGATATTAATGATAGTGACAATTAAAAAAAAAGTTTTTCTTGTAATTTTTGTTTAACTTTAACTTTTGACATATTATATGAACCGATAAAACCTGATAAAACCTGCTTATATAGTTTTTAATTCTTAGGTTTCTTCCAACCCTGCTCTTGAAATATGTATTTAAAATATGATGTTATTTTTGGTAAAAAAACTTTAAAAACTGGGGTGCTCTGCTGACTTTGTTCGAAGTTGGCAGATAACCTTGATTTTTTCAAAAAAAGAGGAGTATAAAATTTTAGAATAGGGTATAAGAACAGCCTTAAAATAGCCTAAAAATGTGGCATATGTTTCAACTCAAAATTCCCGAGGTGCTTTGCTGCCTTCTTTGGCATCTCCGCCAAGGTTATTAAAATAAAGACGTTTATTATTATTAACGTTAGCACTGTATTCATTGCTCAACTAGTAGCAACGTTTTATAATTTTGTTTTAAAAATGTCAGAGAACGTGTCCTAATTTCCCTAAGTAGACTGTTATATATTGAAACGGCGTTATATGTGAAAGATCTTTTGTATTAATAATAATAATAATTGATTCCGCAAAAACATTTTAAATAACACAATTGGAACCTTAAATAAATTATAGATCGTAGGGCATTCTCGAAATGGGGCCAAAACCTAAACGCCTACAAGTGAATGCTTGATTAATTCATTGATTTATGTCAAAGAAGGCTACAGAGTACCTACGGAATTCTCAGTTGAAACCTTTTCCATATTTTTATACTCTATTAAACATTTTATGCTCCTCGTTTTTTACAAAAATCAAAGTGCACTAGTAGCTTCGAATTTTATATATATAATAAAAAAAAGGTATCTTAAGGACAATAGATCCATCTGTACTGCAGTGGAAAGCAATATCCCACTCATTTTCAACCTAACCTAATAAAACCTAATGTATTTATAGAAAATTGTTCAATGCAAAAAAATATCGTATTATATCTAGGCATTATAAAATGACCTGCTGTGAATTTCCCCTGAAAATAAAGTAGAGCGTCGAGAGCAATAACTCATAAGTACATCAGCGGGTAAATTTTAACCTAATTATAGAGAAAAGTCAACAAGGCCAAAAGATTAATTCTTGTCAACGATCTGTTATTGTAAATAAGTTTTAATAATTAATTGCAATAGATTGTATTGATTTTGTTTTGAGAAATGTCTGGAATATTAATATACACACAACAAAATTTATATAGAATCACCAAGCATTTTACAAAAAATGTTTTCATTAAAAACAAATAAAATTCTTCAAATAAAAAATGCTGGTAATCTTATTCTCTATAATTTTTGTTACACAGTGTTCGAGAAATTCGACAAAAAGTGCAAAATTCGAATTTGTAAGAAAAGTGTTCAAATTTTTATTCTATACATGATTTTCCTAAAATGTATCGTATCCGAGATATTAGAGGAAAAGTGTAAATTTCAAATTTTGAAAATAATAGAACACCAACTTTTAAACTTACAAAGTAGAACTGAAAACTTTATGTCACGAATATGCCACTTGTAATAAACAAACATACGTTATATGAAGAACACTATTGGACAAAAATATCATTCTTATATAGATCATAACATTTATAACTCATTGCCCTGTGAAATTTGAAATGAAATTAAATTTTCGTTATACAAAAATAAAAAACAATTATCTCGAGCAAGCCACGTGCCCGAGGGGGAAATCACTAAGGTCAAAACGTACCCGTATTTCGGAAATCACGAAAAAAATATTTATGTGAAAATCCCCTTTAATTTTAAACGATGACTTTTTTTTGGGCTATTCCCTTGTCTTTGCAGAAAATTTATAGTGATTTCGAGTGCGTTTATGCAAGAAATTATTAAAAATTAAATTCAATGGTTAGTGTGAAAAAAAATTAAGTACCTAATTGCTTTTACTTAAAAATGAGGAACAAATCGTATTTATATTTTAAAAAATAAATTTTTTGGTGCTTACTTA